TCTTCAGCATCCATTCATGGTTGCCAAGATTGGTCAGAACTTTCCAAAAGACAAGACATATCACTGCAGATTCTTAAATGAAGATTTCTTTGTTTGTAGTACAGTCCTAGTTTGCACAGAGTTCATGGTCTGGTCTGATATGTTTAACCATTCAACTTACCCCTGCAGATAAGAGATGCAAACACAATTTTTTTCAAATTTTTAACTTAAATGAAATATTGATTACTTACTAGTGATAAGCTGCACTGTTGACATGTATTAAATGAAGTATGATGCTGTTGCATAGGTTTGGTCCCAAAATGGTCATACAAAATTCTGGAATAGGCCTACATTGTTTATTAAATTAACAGGTATCAATTTACCTCAAATCAGTCTACACTCATCTGTTGTGCTCATGTTGTTATAGCTCATAATAAATATTAAAAGAATTTGAAAACTTTCAGTAGAACTAGAATTTGTTGCAGTCTGTCATAAAATGTAATTTTCTCACTAAGATATTGAACTGTGCCTTTAACATTGGCACCCTTCAGAGCTGAGTTCTTGGAAGATACAGATCAAATTTCACGCAAGATTTTGTAAATCATCCAAAAAGGCTTGAGGATGAAGTACCGGATTAGAACATGATAGGCCTAATTTTTACCCCCATTTTTAGCTCCTCGTTACCATAGATGCCTATATTTAGACCAAATATTGTGAGCATGTGAACAGTTTTCTTTCTTTTTAATAGTACGTTGTAATCTTTGTTAAATGTTCTGGGTTTTAGGAGAATGCTGTATCATTGCGAAGTTCTTTATGTGAATCTTATTTGTAAAGTGTTTCTAAATATATGTATTAAATTTTGTTAGAATTGCTTCAATAGAGAAAATATAATTTTTTGGAAATATTCAAGCTATCAGCAATTTTAATTTGACCTTAATATTTGACTCACTCCCACTCACTCATCACTTTATTTCTGTCTCTCCCTGTCTTCCTCTTTCTCTTTCTAACACTCTTGTCTCTCTCTCTCTCTCTCTCTCTCTCTCTCTCTCTTCTCTTCTCTTCCCATGAATCCTACTTAGGCTACTGTCTCCCACTCTCGTCCCTTTTCTGTTTTTCTCTTTCAAATATTGGATTCATTATCTGGAAAATAAAGAACCAATGACTTACAAGAGAATTACTTACTGTTTACATACATTTTATTATTTGGTAGAGCCACATGGATGTACATGAATGCCACTTTTGATTCAGTGCACCATATTACCGGTAGTTGTTCTATTTTGAATGAACATGACTTATATTTCCCTAGTAACAGAGTAGTTAAAGGTAAAGACCAGTATTGGAAATGCCCCAATTTCAAAAAATGAAATGGAAGCTCTCATTACCAATCATGTGAAAGAATATGTTTTGACTAATACATGATGATAAAAAATTTGCCAGGAAACCGCCTACTAATTCATATATTTGGTAAATTTGTTTCTCTCATGGTCTGTGAGAGATATAGGGTAGTCCCATATACATCTTTCTGTGTATAGTGCTTGTAACTTCACGAAGAATGGGCCAAATTTTTTATCATTTTGATGATTCCAGAACCTTGCAGATGCTAGATGCTAGATGATCAACCTTTTCTGATCGATTCCACAACGTTTCTTTCACAATGCAATCGCATGACCATAACTGGTCTTTACCTTTAAATAATTGAATTTAAACAAAAATAGCCATTTTCACTTCCAAACGAGCCAAGCCTTGACAGATAAACACCAACCAAATCGTACACTTTTGAATGCAAACACATCCATGTCAAGCAGCTAGCTATAGGCTCGATCTGCAGGCATGGAATACTGATCCTCTTATATCATTGTCAAGCTAATGATGAGCTACTTAACCTTTCAAATTATTGCAGCATTTTGCCCTTAATAAATGTCATCTTGGTTTAACTGTACATGGAAAAGCCCCTTCATGTCATGTACATTTCCCCCCCCCCCCCCAGTTAAATTAAATCTTGATGAAAAATCAGAAACCGTGAATGGTACTGCACACATGGGACTACACACATTGCAGCATCAAATATTTAGTCCAAGTTCAAGAATTTTAGACTTTATCAGGGGGATGTTTCACAAAGATCCTAAGTTAAACTTAACTCTAAGTTGGACTTAACAATTATGGAGAGCCATTTGTAGCCTTAAAATGAAATATATTCAAAAGCAAAAATGCAAGTATTTTAGACTTTTTATAAATTCCACATCAAGAACATGAAATCTCCTTGTTAATAGAAAGTATGAATGATTTGAATCAACAATTTCCTTTTAAAATAACTTTTACAAAATACTTTCCAAGATGGTAAGGGCTTTCCATAATTGTTAAGTCCAACTTAGAGATAACTTCAACTTAGGACTTTTGTGAAACACCCCCTGGTCATACAGTATTTGGAATATATAAGGGCAATTCTAGTGCAATTATCAGCATGGGACATTACCACTATATTCTTTTCCTCCTAAGTATGAAAAAACGCACTCAAATTCTTTTTCACATTTACCAGAATTGAAGTTTATCTTTAATAGGGTTATTTCCCTGAGATTGACTGAGCATGGTTTTGGGCCTTCTCTGATAGCCTTTAAAAAACAGTACACAAATACCAGGAGAGACCGAATTCTCAATTAAGCCTGAAGTTTACCCAAACTGCACCCAAGTAGGACCATTTTATGGAGTAAATAGCCGGGAACCCTTATTGTGTTTAGTTAACTCAGAGTAGCGCACTTCCATTCGTTTGCCTACATTCGATTCAGTCTGAACCTTGTCAAATCAAGAAAGTACATTGCTCCAGTGTTCAAAGGTTTAAAGGGGACCAGTGACTGGAAAATATTATGCTCTATATACATGTATGAGGGGTTTCAGGCCGTTATACTATGATACTCAAATCATGAACTTCTGATTCTACACCTTTGAGAAGATATTGAAAAGAAGTTGTGTAAATACACTCTCAATAAACATAAAAGTGGCTTGTTCAATGCACCCTTACATTGTGGCATAGAGTGCATGGAACCCAAGTCAAAGCAAAATACTTATGTGTATTGTAAATATGTTTTCATTCAAATAATTTTTATCTTTAAAGTAGTCACTCAAAGAATCAAAAGTGTTTTGAATTGATGCAAAATTCATATTATTGCAAAGGGGAAGCCTTACTGATCAAATATAATGCCTTCCCTCGTTTGGCAGTAATCTGCAGTAATCATCTCTCATAAATGTTAATTTTAAGATCCAGATTTTCTGCCTTCATTTGTCCTCTGTAGAGCGTCAAGATTTGTGACGTCACATGCAAGACACAGCTAACCACAATTTTTTTTACGCGTTTCCATAATATCTACAGGTGTATATGATTTCTATAGCAAATTATTCATGTTTTTTTCAAGAGAACATTTTTCCATCCATACATGTACATGTATATAATTTGTCCATAATTATCAGTTGTCATGAATTTTCTTTGGGTGACTACTTTAATACACCATGAAACCTTTGTTTGATTCTGAACCACTCATGGAATTCGCTAAAAAGTTCATGCATTTAAAAGTGTCTGGTTTGATTGACACTCCAATATTTTTCATTTTGAACATTGCTGAAGACTACAGGAAGTGGTCACACATCCCTCTGTACCTCATGCCACATGTACTTGTAGAAAAGAACCAAATTTCACTTTTGTTGAAGAAAAGAAATGCAAAAAGAAACACTCAAAACGTTCTTTTACAGAACTTTGCCAACAATTTTAACTTTATGTATTTTTCTTTCTTCTTTAAAAAAAAATTAAAAAATGGTTGCATATAAATGTTATTGTTAGGTGCTCTCCGGTATTTGTGATATGTAAATCCTTAGCCAGATGGAATAGTCTAGCTATCCAGTTATGACAAAAGAAAGAATGATGATCCCTATCACCTTGTTGTATTAATTAGGGTGATGATAGCAAGGATAATCACTAATTATCATGAAATCACAATGACTGTCAGAGTATTGTGGTATAAAGGTTCATGGTCAGAGTGTTAAATCTCGGCAATGCCGGTCAATTATTTCCAGCCCAATGAGAGGAGCCCCGCCCTTCTATTAAACCCCCGTGCTTGCCCCTGTCACATGTCTGTGAGTGGCACGTAGACACCCTCCTTTGAAGTCCAATCAACCAAGGTATGCTGCACTCTAGTGTCTTTGTTTGGCCAGATTTGGTACTTTATCACGAACCATCTTCCATTGTATTCTGTCTGGTCTTGCTTTGCAGACCCTAGTTCATGAATTGCTTGATTCGTCTTTCTTTTCTGTTGATGTCTAGGATTAAGTTAAGAATTATGAAACAGACAATTGTAATTAAAACAAAGGAGAGGAGTTAAAAGTGATGGGTGTTTCATTTTAATTAACCTAAAAATAACCCACCCAAATATTTCATTTGATTACAGTGTGAAATGTATATTTCAACAATAGTACCAGGGAAAAAAATATTTAACAAATTTGGGGGGCTGCTTTTCAATCTTGCTTGCATTAAAATTACACTCTTTAATTTGTTTTGCATTGGACTCTATGTAAAGTGTTGGGGGCTCTTTTATGACTTTCGGGGGCTCTCGGGCATTTCGGGGCTAGTTCACCCGAGCCCCCGTGTATTTTTTCCCCATGAACAATACAGTCAAATGTCCTTTTGTGAAAACCACCTGTTGATAAAGATCATATTTGATGTTTTAAAACATGAATATCAGGGAACCTTTAAATAAAGACCACCTGCTTTTAATGACCATTAATTTGTGTTTCCCTTGAGGGGTCTTAATAGACAGTTTTTATTGCATAATATTTATACCAAACTCACAACCAACCTGCTAGAAGGTGGCATAATATTAAAGCAACATTTTGCACATATTACGTACCCCATTGACTTTGACCTACCCATAACTCATTATCTTATCTGCCATTTTTTGATCGCAATAATCAGAAGTGGGTCTGAATTTTAAAGAGGCTAGCAGACTTCTTGTCAATAGACTTGTGATTGCTTGGTCTGCTGATCATATGCATGCAGCCCGGTTTTGTTATTGTAGACACTGACTGCCTGACATTATATTATACTGGTAATGCTCATTGCCTGGTTGGTGGTGGCAGGATTCTTCGGCTCACGTTGTTAGCTCATATGCTGGTTGGTTGGTGTACGAAGAGAATTTACCTGTGCGACAGTTAGTTCATTCATTCATTCTGGAGTGTCGGTCGTGGTTGAACCATTAACCATTGGCTGCTGTAGGTGATCTCTGCCAGTGCTCTAGGAACCAAGAAATGGATATTATGAGGAATTATTTTAAACTGGATTAATCTTGTGAACTTGCCTGAGGAGTTCCTGCAATGCCATCATCCTCAGAAAACAGTATCCTTGTAAGTGTAAGTGGAGAAACCACGCTCTCTCTTGATATATAGGATACCGATCTGTTCTTTCTTGCTATTATTATTATTTTTGTATAGATTATTTAATGGCTTGCGTATATATACAATTATACATTGTAGATAGACTTTCCAGGTTGATACCTCTGGCAGCTACTTTGGGTACATTTACCAGTACATTACCTTGATCATAGTTATGATATTTTTTGTTAAAAGTATTTCCTTTGTAAGCCTATACATGTAGATAGTAACATTTATGAGAATAATTTTCTAGTGCCTCCATAATTTAATTATCCTGAGACAAGAAAAATAATATATACATTACAACATTTAAAATTGAATCAATGTACTATAAGCTATAATGTGCGTAGGGCATTTTAAACAAGTTTACATATATCTTAATTATTTCCCTTTTTGAACACTTGTTGACCCATTATTTTAACTACCAAATTCTCTCATTTCCATAGACTTAGTACAGGGACTACCCATTTTGTGCATGCAAAGAGTTAATTTTCTTCCAAGTTCACAAACCACGCCCTTAAGTTTTACCCAACTGTCAAAAAACAAAGTATCTATATTCCAAGCAACGTACTGTCCTTCCAGAAATTTTATGAAATTTAGATTGTTTGTTTTTACTTGAACAGCAATTTGAGTACTTGACAAAGCATTGCACCAAAGAAAGAAACATGCATAGTATTTAAATGCTGTAGTCTCATAGCGATTTGTGATTTAGATAGCCTCTACTGAGAGCCAGAAAGATATTAATATTAACAGTTATTATTTGACATGAAATGAATGCCCTTCTGACTTACAACAGACAATACATGTATGTTGACTTTATATCATGTTATTGAAAATTGAAGCTGGCTCTCTGCGTCATATTTTAATCATCGGGTTCAGTTTCTTTGAGAGTGAAACCTCCTTTGTAAACAATCTTATCAAAAACCATAACATTTTATGAAGTTGCTTTTAAAATGTCCAAAGTCCATTAACCCCCATTATTAGTGAACATGTGTGTAAACACCTTTTGTATATGTACATATTGATTCAAAAGATTTCAAGTAACTGCGTCATTAATTAGTAGTCTAGGAGATTGGAAAGAAAATGGGGCCAAAACATTTCCAACAAAATTTTGGAGCGCTAGGTTTTAAAAACAAACTAATACATCAACTGAATATTTCTATGAAAGGAAATCAGGACAATTTCTTATGAAAGCTTATTTCCATTTTTCTAGTCGTCATGTCAGTGTGGTTAACTTTATAAAGAAGGAAAATTGATCGATGATCTACAACTATTGCTGAAAATCCTGCAGTTGGATTTAGGAAGAAAGCCTCACAAAATTTTAATGATAGGGTTATTTTTAAGCTTCATACATATTGTACATTGTAGCCCCATACACATTCATGCTACAAATTTGACCAAATGCATTATTTTATACTTTGTATGTAAGATATATATACCTCGATGTGGTAATATACTGTACACTGATCAAAATAAGCCTCTGTAAGTACATTTTCCTGTTATTTCCATCAATACCAACCAGTATACTTTACAATCACACCACACATGAATCCATCCAACACAGACTTACACCTGCATTAAGCTGTTTGTTATCTCATAATTGATGAATATTTATCTTTAAAACCACCATGTTATATTGATTTAATTAGTTCTTGTCTGCGAGTAGAATCGTTCTGCTCTCATCAATCTACTGTAATGGAATCGACTACTCCCTGATGGGATATTAATGCTGTTTTGATTTGCTCCATTAGAGCCCGGCACTGCCTGACACTGAGGCGTAATAGAGAATAGATGTATTATCATAGTGTCTGACTGACAAAGGGCGCGTTCATGCTTTAAAAGTGAAGGTAGAGTGAGGGATCGGAAACGCTCATCATAAACGCTCATCGTGATCGCAGTTCCACGGTGTACTGTTCATGCTTACTTCTCTGGCTCATCGAGGCAATTCTCCGTGTGTGGCCTTAATTGGTCTTCCAGCTGGATTCGCAAACCTTCACTGTGCATGCTACGTAGACCCACTAGAGGTCAGTGCGTTGACCCCATTTAAACGCGTTTACAAATTGTAAACGCATCTTTTTGTGAGTTTACGATCGGCGATCGTGATCACCGTTTTTCGGTGATTCTACAAAAGTAAGCATGGACGCAACCGTGTTTTAAACTAAACGCGTAACAGATGCCTGATTCTGGCCAGAAAAAGTGAAGCATGAACACGCCCAAAGATGAATGGAATTCATTAAACATACATCAAATTAATGGCTCATCTACAGTATATTGAGTATACAGTTGTAACAAAATGCATCAATGAGTTAACATTGTAGGTTTACCTACATGTATATTACATAATAATATATGCTGAGTCCTGCATACAATAAATGATATTGATTTTCGTATTAATATTTATGACATTGTACATGTTTTGCACGATCAAGCCGTATGTTCACAATCAATGATAGAAACTGCTGTGTGCTAAAGTAACATGTCCTTGTCTCTCTTTCATATTTGCATTTGAGACAAAATTCTTATTTTTGTAGCTAACAAGCGGAAAGAAATTGAAGGAAAAAAATAAGACTGCTTTCAGTTTGCTCGTCATGTGTCAATAATAAGAGTTTGTTCTCAGAAGTGCTGTGCAAAAGCAACAGGGAGTGATTTTAATGGCGGGCAAACTGCATATGGCAATCAGCATGCAAAATGAGGTGGATTTTTTTCCACCCAAATCGAAATGAATGTATTTATTCAGCTATAAATAATGTTATGGGTATAAGATTTGTGACATAGACTTTTGCTGTGTTGGTGTAGGCCTTACAGTGCTAGTCCAGAATCTGGCCGGTTGTATTCTTTTTTCACATTCTCTTGTTCCTTACCTGGTGCCAGCTAAAATTTGTGTGGAACCCTGCAATAGGGCTGGTCTAAGGTTGTAAAAAGGTCAAGATAACTAAATAAGAACCACAAAAAGTCAGAAGCATTATCTGCATATTCAATTACATAGGGGCATTAAATTAATGGCCTATTAGCTGTCTGTAGAAAGTATGTTTAGTATTCATAAATAAAGTTTACAGGTAATAAGCCAGTTCACGGTTGCAGTCTGAGCATGAGCAGATAAAGGTCATTGCAGAACAAATTTTGAAATACACGGAGACGAAATACTGGATACGTGCTCATGAAAATTATGTAACATTATTCATTCATGCACATTCAGTGCACTCCATGGTACACAGGTGGAAGTATTCTTTGAAAAGGGGGAACAAAGGCTATTTATAAAGCACCTCCATCGCTATAGGAGTGATTATTTCAAAATGTACAAAGTGGGACCTCTTCATGTTTTGAAGATCTGTGGATATTCGGGGTCATTGCAGTAAGGTGCTAACCGTGAACTGGTCTATTGAAATGAATAAACTTCAAACTTTACAGTACAGTGTATATAACCTACATGTATGTATGTCTAGAATAATCATTAGAATAACAACCTGTACAAGTCAGAACAAATTACGTGTGACCTTGATTTCTCTTTCATAACAGCTAATTATATACATGTGTATGCCCTTTTGGCCTTATGGAGCTGGTTTCTATGTAGATTAAAATCTTTTTTGTTGTTTCAGTTTCTCTACTTTTCAATCATGCCGGTAATTAATTAAAATATACTATCTTGCATAAAAAAGGTCTCTTAAACACATAAATCTGTCACCAATGGTTGATAGTAGGGAGATTAGGCTGGAGAATTCTTTCATTAATTTGATTATATTTTAGGCTAGTTAATCATCTTGCATAATTAAAACGAATCATGAACAAATTCAGTCTGACTTTGATGACAAATCGGCTTAGTTATATAGAGAATTTTTCATTAAATGTAGTTTACAATATTATTGTCTTGCATTAGAAGGACTTCTTTATAGACTAACCTGACAGTGATTTATTTCTGACAAGCGTTAATAGAGAATGCTTTCATTAATTTTGTAATATTATATTTTTATTGTTTGTAATATATTTTTATGGTCTTGTTGACTTTGTAGGCATCACTATACCAAGCCTAATTTTACATACCGGTAACCATACACGTTGCAATCCTTGAGGATTCTCTCATTAATTTCTATAGGTACTTTTGTCTCCTAAGTGCTAGAAGGATATTAATTACATGTGAAAGTATATGATAAAACAACCCTTTGACTCTCAGCAAACGGTTTTATGGTTTTGTTGACATTTTGGCATCATCGGAGCGGCCTTTATTGTATTCAATGACACAAGTTGGAATGCCAAATACCTGGTCAGGGTTTTATCACAATGGAAAATCCTTCGACAGGAAAGTGTGAATAACCATGAATTTGTAGAAATGCAATCGGCTGCTTATGTGGTTTCGCATCAAAGAAAATAGTTCCTGTATTTGATTTTGAATTAGCAAATATGGCCATTGCAAAAAGCACCCACTCTGTTTACAAACCTACAAAAACAAGGTGATAAAGTAAATAAACAAGAGCATATATATCCTATGCTTAAAATTTATTAATTTCTCCAACAATGGTTGGGTACATTACAAAAACACCCACTCAGGTTTGATCAAAATCCAAACCGAATTAAAGAGCTCAAATTGTGTCTTCTTTGTGTGTAATTTGAATGGTACTTGTGACCACGCCTCATCATATTCTGGAAAAAATTAAAAAATCACCATTGCTCACTCCTTAATAAACAGGCCTATACTGAAATAAGCTTATCTATTTATTTTTCATAGTGAATTAGAAAGAAAAATGGACAGTCTTGTACATCAATAAATTTTGTTTAACAGAATATTTTAAAATTGATTGAACTTGTACAAATGCCTGTAAAATGTAAAAATGCATGGAAACGAGTATCTATAAAACAGGTTAAAAGTTATCTGCCTCAAAAAAACAACTACTCTCCGTATTACAGGTATTGTAATCGGTTGGTGTGAGTTCATACATATTACGGTAACCCAAATGAGGTGGCTCCCAGGTCTGCCCCATCTTCTGACCGATAGTCACTTTCAATCAAGACTCGTTATCTCCGTCTTGAGATCCCTAAAGCCCCTAGGGACGGAAGGTGACAAAAGTGCAGTCACCAGGATCGAGGGAGGACAACCCTACGTAGGCTGGTTTTCATTAGCCAGAATTTTAAAGAGAGCCTTGATTCTGGGAAAATTAATACTTCATTTGGGAACTTCAAACACAAGATTTTGGGGGGGAGAGTGCTGATCAGTCTAATATCTTAAAGGGACAGTTGAGTTTTGTTGCAGAGGGCACTTCACAAAATATTTTTTGGGTAAGATAATACGTGATGATACATTTTTGTACTGGATAACGGTAGATATCGCGCACGTGTCGCGTAGTGCCATATACATCTTTCTGTGTACAGTGCTTTTAATTTTACCAAGACTGGGCCAAATTTCATATCATTTTGATGATTCCAGAACCTTGCAGTACACACCAATACTTATATGCTAGATGATCAACCTTTTCTGATCGATTCCACAACGTTTCTTTCACAATGCAATCGCATGACCAGAACTGGTCTTTATCTTTAAATTGGAAAGAGCACTAGAAATGCCATAAATAAGAATGAGAGCAATAACCAAGCATTTTGAAGGCATTTGCGATCTTAAACAAGAACTCAACTATTCCTTTAAGCTCAAGATTGTTAAGGCTAATGGGAATGCATCCCTAGAGGACAGCTCTACTCATTCCCCATCCAGTCCTCTTTAACCCACTTACCTCATTTTTAGTGAAATAAGTGTGATTCCTCTTCCTGAATAATGATCAAATGGTTTAATAGATATTTTTTTCCTCCAAACTTAATTAATTAATGGTTAAGGCCTTCAAACATTTGTTTCACCTCCCTCTTTTTTCCTTAATTTCTTCTGTTTTTTCATCACCATCATAATCATTGTCATAATCATCATTGTCATAATCAGCATTGTCATCATCATTTTCATCATCTTAATCACCATCATCATCATCATCATCATCACCATAACCTTCATTAGTCATAATAATAGCAATAATTATAATCATCATCATCATCATCATCATCATTATCTTCATCACCTTCATTATCTTTATCACCATCATCATCATTGTTGTCATATTCATTGTAACTTCATCATCATCTTCCCTTCCTTTATTATTCTTTGCCATCACCTCTGCCCATCCTCACCTCCACCTCCTCCAGTGATGAGACCTTCAAATATTTGTTTTCCATCAGGAAGGTTTCGAGCAGGGCTGCACTCTGGAAGCATGTAGGGTTTGCAAACATAATAAAAGCACCTGTTTTCAATGATATGCAATTAATTCTGACGAAAACGTGACATTGACACCGGCCTAACTCCCGGAAAATGTGATTTAAGAGAAGAGATACATCTCTGTGGAGAAAGTGTGAAGGTTGAGGGACCCTGAAAAGTGCAAGTGTAACCCATATGTGTCCTTTGGTAGAATGTCCAGGGTTGGTGTCTTACCTTGCCCCAGCCAGTCTATAGAGGTTCACCCATGGTCCGTAGTAGGTAGGTCCATGGTCTGTATCAATAGCCTTAAAGTTTCATTCTAGAGGAGTGCCCATGCAGTGTCAAAAGGAAATTACTTCTTTGTTGTTTTCTTTCTTTTGTTTTGCTTTGTTTTGGGTTTTTGTTTGGAATAAGAAATCCTTCAGTCAGAATTTACACCAATCTTACAAGAATCGTTTGCAATGGAATGACACTGTGTACTGCTATGGTGACTCCATAAAAAGCAAACATTTTCCACAGTGTACATTCGAACTTTACATGAAGGCTTATAAAGCGTTAGTAATTGTTCATATTTTAGTGGTGACTACTAGGATTTGTTTTAAAATTCTCATCCCGTGCAGAAGAAGTGTTAATTAAATTTCATGATAAAATGATCTATCCATCGTTGAAAGTCTGCTGAGAGCCAGAAAGGCAGAAGTCCAAACATTTTACATGTCAGAGTCTATGTCCTTCTGGCACTCTGCAGATATTGGAGATACTTTCAAAGCTGACAACTTCATATGAAAATGATTTTACTCCAATCTGATCTGATTTATCAAAAGACGAGGTGCAAATGTGGGCTGTCATCACTAGATAATTAACAAAAAAACTCCTCACCCTTCAAATTGGCAACACCTTATCCTTGAACTTTTCCTGACACCCTAATTCTAAAGGTCCGTGACCAACACTTACACCTGGCCCGTCTATGGTCCTTTATTAGCGTTCGGCATCTGTCTCTGTCTAGTTCATGTAACCTCCTTGAGTCACTCCCGCCAATAATTTCATTTCGTACCCAGCTGGGAGGTATTTGAAGTTTACCATTTAGACTTCATTTTCATAAAGGATATTGATACGAGCGGAGGTGACTCCTCATCATACCACATATTTTTCTAATAAAGGAGAGCTACATGCGACGGGAGGCTGTAATTGATTTGGGCTCGGGTTATTCTAGTATGGATATAGAACATGAGTTAGGGTCTTGAAATATCATTGGACACTATCAGAGTTCATTATAGTCTCTCTACATTTTGATAGAAATAGAAAGGAAATTAAATTTGAGCTATATTTAAACATATTTATATTCGGTCAGACTCTGAATAGAGCCTCCAGAAAATAAAGTCGGAACTTGAAACCTGACATCTGATGGGTATAGGTAATTGTACTGAGAGGAATGGATGGTGAGCTGAGAAAATTTCCAACAAAATCTGAAGATTTTCAGCAAGGAGTAAGGATAGAGTGCCTTAGTAGAATTTACATTGTGTAACAACAAAAACAAAATAAAATAAAAAACAACAACTGATATATAATTATCCAATTAAGTTTAAATCACTTTCCCTTTACTTTCAAACATGTAAATATGGATCCTTAATGTAATTATAACTCTGAAAAAAAGTGAAAGATTTTTATCATTTCCTTTTTTAAAAACAAAAACAGAGATAATAAAGTTATTCATCATATCAAATTGTAACCAAATCAACTCATAATATTCATACAGCTGCCAGCTTGCAAAACGTGTGTTGTATTTGGTCGTATGTTGATTGTGGATATTCTTAGAAAACCTTGAATGCGTTGTCCAATTACGTGTTATTATGTTTCATAACAAGATACACAACGACCGAGGTTGCTATGTAATCTATGATTAAGTTATTACCTCATTATTCTGCTGTTATAGTTTTTTTTACTCTGTTTAATATTGATCAATATACCTACACGGCTGCGATGTTAGTGTATCAAGGGTGATTTTACATCTAATTGTCATTTATGTCACCGTTCCAGGAAAAAAAAGTGGTTTTGTTCTGTATCTATTATTGTTGTTGTTGGAGTGTATAGGGAAAGCATGCTGAGTATATATAATATTTCATTTATAAAGCACCTTTTCATAAGATACAAAGCGAATAAACAAAAAGTATTTACAAACTAACAAAGCAAAAGTTAAAACTTGTGCAAAACTCCATGTATCTATGTAGCTCAGAAAAATGTTTTGTGTTCAGAACTTCAGAGCCAGAAGGATGTTAAAGATGTGAATCAACTTTAGCTTTTTCTAACGGGGGGGGGGGGGGGGGGGGGGTGGTTCTATTAAACAGGTAATCATCATTTAATCTATTCCAGAACGGAAGCACAACCGTAAAATCTAAGGCTTTGTCATAAGTTGTTGAGCTTCTGGATTCAGTTCATAGCCTCAGACTCTTTATTGATTTTTGTCTTTCTATGTATACATCTTTGCTAAGTAAAAAAAAACTCACCCATAATGACCTCAATTTGCATTCCAATCTTTGCTGTCTCTATTGTTAAAGTGATCTCAGATTACTATTTGCTAATCCTAGGTGTATGGCTGGGTTATTTTAAGCACAACATTATCCAGTCCAAAATTGTTGATGTCCTAAAAGTAACTGACATCAGTATGGGTTTAAAAAATGCAATTTGAAATATCAATACTACAGACATTATAAAGAGGCCTCTGGTCTTTATGTACAGGTGGTTGCTAATGCTATGTAAGGTTTAGCTGAGACAGTTACTCCACGGAAAGGGAAAGGTTTTTTTGTATTTAAAAAAAATTATTAACAAAAAAGTAATTTACCCTTATTATTGGTGTACTTTATCTCCATGGTTGTAGATGTGGTCTGTAAATATTACTATGACAAAGAAACAACAAAGGCATTCTTCATGGGCAGGTGGTCACCGAGGAAGTTGTCAGATAATTTGAATGTAATAGATTGGAAGAAAAAAACTCTAATTTAAATAAGATTATTTTGTGTGAGGAATGACTTCAGCTTCAAATGCTACACATACATGTACATGAAAAAAAGAATGCACCCTCCTTCTATTAAATTCGTATCTGTATTGGAATATACAGTAATCTCTCAATTGAAAAAAATAATTCATTATATGTCCATATAGAATTAGGAAATAATTTTTCTCTCTCTCTTTCTCTCTTGCAGGATAATGATGATGAAGCTGAAGAAAGACTAAAAAGAGGATGGTAAGAATACAAAACCTTTTTCTCTTTTTGTTTGTTTCTTCTTCGTTTTTTTTTCTTCCTTCAATTTTTTTCTTCTCCTTCTATTCCTCCTTCTTCTTCTTCTTCTTCTTTTTGTTCTTTTTCTTCATCTTCTGCTTCTTTTTCTTCTTCTCCTCCTTCTTCTCCTCCTTTTCTCCTTCTCCTCCTTTTCTCCTTCTCATCCTCCTCCTCCTTCCTTCCTTCTTCTCCTTCCCTTCCTTCTTCTCCTTCCCTTCCTTCTTCTCCTTCTCTTCCTTCTTCTCCTTCTCCTCCTTCTTCTCCTTCTCTTCCTTCTCCTTCTCTTCCTTCTTCTCCTTCTCTTCCTTCTTCTCCTTCCCTTCCTTCTTCTCCTTCCCTTCCTTCTTCTCCTTCCCTTCCTTAATCTCCTTCCCTTCCTTCTTCTCCTTCTCTTCCTTCTTCTCCTTCTCCTTTGCCTCCTCCTTCTCCTCCTCCTTTTTCTTCTCCTCCTCCTTCCCTTCCTTTTTCTCCTTCTCTTCATTCTTCTATTTCTCCTCCTTTGCTTCCTCCTTCTCCTCCTCCTCCTTTTCCTCCTTCCCCTTCCCCTTCTCCTTCTTCCTTTATATCCATTGCATACTGTGTACCATCTGCTGAGAGCCATAAGGACGTTAACTCTCCATTAACGGGTATGAATTGACACCTTTCTGACTTCCTGCAGAAGGATTGATAATAATTCTTGTGTAAATTTTCAGTACAGTCTGAATCTTTTGTAGATTGTGCTTAACATGTGCATAATGTGTATTCTATAAAGCAAAACGATTCTGCTTCCTGCAATTCTTTACTTGTCTGTTTCATACGTTGAATTTTTAGTGGATCACATTTTATTCATCGTCGCCTGCCTGCAAGATGGACATAAGAGCTATGTATCGTCAATAGATTTAACGGCTTTCTTGCAGGCAGCCAATGATTATAACTCTCATTCTATTTACATTGAGGTAGTAATAAAAATGGGTGTATATTTGAAGTAATCTTTGCTCTTTCTGATTGCAGAGGTGGATAATTGTTTGGTCATAGAAATAAATCAACTCAAATTTCTGTTGACTTTGTAGAAATTTCATGCACCTGTTTTTACAGCGCACTGATGTAGTGAACAGATATTGCTGTACTTGCAGATTTTCATTTATGATAATAAGCCTCAAACAATTGCTGTTTACATGATCTGCTTAAACTTTGAATCCTGTATCCTTAGTCGAATGTAATTTCTATAATTTTCTTCAAATATTCAAGATTAAAGCTCAAAAAAAGGTTTTTCCACTATTTTGGACTACTTAATGAAACGTAAACCAAACATTAATACTGTGGACTGGGGCCTAATGAACAAGAACATTCAGAAAACTTCTTGTAAATATATATTCCTGTAAGTTGTAGTAATTCAAGTACTTTGAACGTTTGAACCTGACTTTGTTTTGTTCATCAGGAAATAGAATGTCCACTCATGTTTCAATTGTAAATAGAGCTGTAGGAATGCTTCCTGAATCCCTGACTATTAAAGTTCCATGCAGCCAGGAGTATAACAATGCAATTTAAATATATGGAATGTATAAATGTATAAATTGGCATTGATTTTATAAAATCTACAAACAGAGATTAAAATAGCATGAGGTCTTGGCAAGAGATCAGATCTACATGTACACCCCATATTTCTCTTTGAATGAGTGACTTGAGCACTATCGCCTGCTAAATAAGTGCAATTATAATTCATCTCGTGTTTTGAGTAAATAGTATGTATGACGAAACACATAATAATTTTGTCATGTTAAGTGCATACTATCAGTGGCTGAAATTTTAAGTATTCACAAAATCCTGTCAAATTTCTGGGAGGTGGAACTAAAAATCTCTGAAGGTACGATTTAAAAAAATATTATTTGTATTTTGAGAGTTATACAGACATAAGATCAGTCAAAGATGTTATTGGAAATGAGATCAAAAGAAAAATGACCCTTATATAGAAAAGTGAAATCTTGTTGGTAATTGCCATATATGACAACATTCATTCGCCAAACAGAATGAACCACAGAACAAACAACAGCAACAAAAACCACAGCCACAACGACAACAGCCACCACCCCCCTCCAAAAAAAAAAATAATAATAATAATAATGCTTGATTATATTTGAACTTCTTTGCTGAAATCTTTCCAATACATCTTTCTAAAGCACTCTATATTTGCCCATGAACCAAAAATTCAACCTTTATCATATTTTGCTCAGATAAGATTGAAATACATGTAGTACTTTAGAACCGTATCCTTTAATGCTGCTGATATATATACATTGAGAACTCCACATCATGGCATAAATTCAAAATGACACAACATCATGCACACGAATTGCTATTGTCAACCTGGTTTTGGCAGCATACCAAAGGTGTTTGCCATGGCAACGGAGTATGTACTTAGCTAGTGAATGATTGACGATACACCGAGTTATACCGTTTTAATTAAAAGAATTAGGTTACGTGACAGCTTGATATGAGTCTATTGTCCTTTCTATCTAGAGTGGGTTTGTAATCGGTATATAATAGTTCCAGTCCATTATCCATATGGACGAGTAGATATTGAGGGGTGTGTACTTTTTTGTGTTTGTAAACAAAGTGGGACAGATGGAGAGAGAGAGATAGAGAAGAGAGATAGAGAGATGTGTGAGGGACAATCAGTATAAAAAAAATGTCAGCGTGAGTGAAATTAAGTGGTAAAAAGAAAGCCATAAAATGCAGAGAGATATTAAGATGAAAGAAAGACGGGAAAAAAGAGGTTATTACACTGCTAAATGCACTGACAAAAGTGTGTATCATTCATACTGTATGTCAGTTTTTAGTCATCTCTATTATAGTAATCACTTACCTCGGTGGAAATAGCAATGCCTATTTATAGTAGTTGCTATGGCAACACAAGTTTGCTGACAACTGACATGGTCGGCATTGCATAATTAATGATTCAGGATGTACCGTCACGTCTTCCTTTTAACTAACCGCGTAGACTTGTTTTCATCATTATATTCACCTTCACATGTACAATCCATTCACATTTTATTTCATTCCCAGTAATTGTTATCAGTTGGCTTAAACGAGCAGTCTTTGTTTTGCTTTTAATGAAAAGGATCAGTTTTCTCTTCATACACCTAGCTAAACCATGGCTTCATATTGGTTTGAGAATATTTGCTTTTGAATGGCATTCCTTTTATTGCCATTATCTCTCTAAAATTTAGTAAAAGACTATGAAATGCTTTTCTTTTGACTAATTGCTTATTTGATATTAGTTTATTCCAATTTGTTGTAATATATTTTATAATCCTATGCAGTAGCACAAACTCAAAGTGAAGTCGTCTCAGCAATCTAATAAAATCACCTTTATCATATATATCACATATTCCAAAGCGAAATTTGCAAGGGGGCTATACAACTGTACTTCAGGAAATAGAATTATGTGCAGTATGTAGAAGTATATGATATATGGTCTGTTAGCTCTGAACACACCATACATCGATTTATGTAATCCAATACAGGGATAACAGCCGTCTGGTTCTGGGTAGATGAGATTATATATCTAGGGGCATCAATATAAATTGTTCTGTCTCATGCATGCATAGAATCATTATGATTGTAGAGGTGTCGTGGTCGAGTGGATACATCGACGGACTGTCGATCTTATGGTCTGTGGTTCGAGTCCCGCCGCGGCACTAATGTCCTTTGGCAAGACATTGATCTACATTTGCCACACTCAACCCAGGTGATGTAAATGGGTACCTGGCAGGAATTAATTCCTTGAAATGCTAGTGCGCCGCAGTGGCTGCCTTGCTAAAGCCAGGGTAATAATCGGGGCAGCACCAGGAGCGTCACAACGTGACGGACATGTGCGCTATATAAGAAGCCACCATCATTATTATTATTATTATGATAACCCAAATATAAATCATCTTTTTAAAATCAGGAGACAGATATTTATGAAATCTCCTTTTCTCTCTTTTATCTTATCTTCTACTACAGTGAGAGCTTCTTCGCAATGAAGGGTGCAGCCATAGTCCTCCCGCACTCCAAAGATACCAAACGACCCATCAAAAAGCACCCAGGTTCGGACCCCTCTTCCAGTCATTCCGCTACCCCTATCGAACTCAACCTCATCCCCTCCGGGCCCCCTCTTCCAGAAGCTCGTAAGACACACGCCGCTGGCTGAGAGTCATTATCAAAAACTATCCTTAAATTTTTTTTCATTTTTGATATTTATCCATCATGACAGATTTTGTTTTGGTTCCATCATATATATTTGCATCCATCCATTGTTGGTGTGATGATGGTTGATGTGGTTGTAATATTCTGTTTGAGTTTGGAACATTTCACATTTCCTCCGTTGGAAGCCAGAGGGGCGCTAGCTCACGTGACTTTGCAAAGAGTTTACACCCTTCTGGCTCTTAACTTTGGTTTAATCTTCTCATATGGGTATTTTACACAAGTTATTTTGAATTTTTGTTATCAGGGAAGAGGTCTGTTTTCTTAATCGCTCAGAAACTAGGGATTTGTATTTCACTTTTCATTACTTTCCTATTACTGCTGTTCAACACTTCTTTTCATGCTATTGGGGATTCTTTTGATTTAAGAACTGATAATCTTTCTTTGGGATGATTTCTTGCAGTTATTCTTTTGGATTTCATCCTTTTTATCCTTTTTATCTTAAAATTTCAGGCAAAGGTTTATATCTCATTTCATGCATACTCAAAGACCAACAAATTATGAAGATCCATCTTTATATATAGAAATTGGCGCTTAATTTGTTTACAGGCAGCTTAGGACCAACTATCTTCTTCCTTTTAAAACATTTTTGAAAAATAGTTTTTCCTTATAATAAGATCTGTATATTTTAGTGAAATGTTCCATATTCAAACAGGATTACTTTAACACATACAGAGTGTGTTGACAAGACTAATACCACCATCCAATATTAACTGCTGTTCATACCATACCATACCAAGTTCACAAGCATGGGTTTTATGTTCCTAACTGTTCAAGTAGCGTATACTCACTATGAAATTAATTCATTAATTTTGCTTTGCCGTCAAACAGCACTTATTTATACAATTACGATATTTCAGTAATACCACAATGCGATACAAGCTCTACGAGTTGCATTTACAGTGTATGATTTTAGCAACGTCACTAACCACAAACAAATATTAGTCATCTGTGCTTGATCATTGTTTGATCATTGTATCATGAAAATGTAGGGAAAGGGAAGTAAAGGAAAATTTGGTCGGTTGAGTGAGCTCATATTCTACAGATACATGTATAGGAGGTGGGGTTTTAAAATACTGTACATATATACATGTATATTCCCATGCTCACCTTTTTACATTAGGCGCACTGATGAATAGTCTGTATTCAAGTATTCTAGTCTGACTGTAACCCCCCCCCCCCTCCCCTCCACCCCAACCCTCCACCCCAACCATCCACGAGGAAAGAAAATGTTTGAGTCTGGAGCTGTAAAGACTACCATAGCTTTTCCAATCAAAACTAACTCCTAATTTTGAGGGTATTAGTTTTAATAGTTTCAGACTCAAACACATTTTTATTGGGAAGAGGAAAAACCCAGCCTACAATTTAGGGTATAGGCCTACATAATAGGGATTACTATATGCACTTTACCAACTTATTAATATTTTATTCTATTAATACCTTTCAATTTTGTCCATTAAAGAGGATTAAAGGGATAGTCGTATTAAGTTGATTAGAGAATCAAATTGTCATCCAGTCGTTACGAACAAAGAACCCACTGCTTGTGAAGCTTGATGCGAGTGAATGAACGCAATAATGGTAGACAAAAGAGAAAAGGCATTCATGTGCAGTTAACACAATAATGCTCTTGGTATGTTTGTTTATACCCACCAAATAAAATAACAAAGCATCCCAAATGAACTAATGACTGTCTCAGCTGCTGTGTTAGTTATTATATTGAGCTGGTACTGGTAGCCTGTGATCAATGCTCTTTTGTCTTTTATTTTCATCCCATCTCTTGCATATGTAGTCATCTCATCTTCTCTTTTTTTTCCCCATTCAAATTAAATCTTTGGGAAAACTTGTCTTTTGGGAAGGATCACAGAGGTGTGTTGACCATAAAACATAGAATTTCTGAGGGTTGCCTGGTCTAGCATTATCCAATGCAGATTATATAATTTCTGCAGCATGCAATTAAAAAAAAGAAGTTATTATTCAAGTAGAATCCATTCTGATTTAATCTGATACCACATTACTGCACTTATCGTCTGTTTGGAGCCAGAAGGGCATTAATTGACTATTGACTACTAGTTCCAAACAGACAGTTAGCTGCATGTGTTAAAATGACGCAAATGCAAGAGATAGAGATGAGAAAGAAAAGAGTTGTAAAGGCTGGATCCCAGGCTAATGAGAGCTATGCGAGGGGAGAGGATTTGCTCGCCATTAACATTGATCTCCAATAATGGCATGTGATCAATGAGAATGGTACCATGATTGAATCCTGAATAATATAACTGTCATAACTATATACATTGTATATGCATGTTGTAATAGCCTAGCATCCAGGTTGAATTAATTATATGTGACTAGATTGATATACCATTGTGAAGCAGGATCTTATTATCAGCATGGCAAGTTTTCCATTTTTCAGGCAAGCATTACTGAGGTGAAAAACACACTTCTGGAGGAAAATTGACACATTTGTAGGAATAAGGTTTTTTCATTTCTTCTGTTTGAAAACAAATCCTTTGAAAGAGCCTGGATTGTGCTCCAAGATTATAATTAATATGTTTTGTGGCCTGAAAGTGAGGCTATATTCCAATTTCAAAATCATTTTCATAGATGTACATACTCATTGAGGTGCCAAGCCCGTGCCATACTGATACAGCAATAAATACCTGAGCATATTGTAAATTGCTTTCGTCTTTATACAACATTGCAAACAGATTATTGAAGCAAACAAAGTAATTGCTTACCTGATTGGGTTTCTGTTTTCATACATGACAAGTAATTTCAGTCGTAAATCAAGCAGACTTTGGTTTTGATTGCATGCTTAGTGAAAGTTGTGTGATTTTGTATATGAAGATTTTAGAAAATGAATGTGGTTGAGGATTATGGGCATGTTGATGCATGCAGTGCATGGATTCTTTGCTTTGTAGTTGAGGGTATTTTCTATATATTGTTTTGTTTTTATTGACATTCAGCCATTATAGCCATATATGTTTTGTTTTCTCATAACAATCATTTTGTTTAGTTTTCTGTGTGGCTTAAATGGTGTAAATTAGGACTGTAAATGTATATTTAGAATACATTGCAGTATGTTTTATTAGTGACTTAGGATTGCCTATTAATATGATTGCCACAAGTCAACAGCAGATAGACAGACAGACATACAAATAGCCAGACAGACAGACGGACAGAGAGAGAAAGAGAGAGAGAGAGAGAGAGAGAGAAAGGGGAGGGGGGGGGAGCAAGAACAGGAAATAGCTTTGGCTTTCTGTAAAATCAGAAACTTTTGCTACTATCAGATAAATATGCCAAGATGATTGAAGTGATTTTCTTTTCATTTTTGCAGATTCAGTGAATACAGCATTTGTGCTTTATAGAAAAAAACATGTCAATGTACAGTACTACCTGTTGAAATGCAGGTACCGGTACAAGGAAGTGGAATTATAAAATGGAATCTAGGTGATAGGTCTCGGATTTTCTTCTTTTGTTATACCAGAATCTGGCGGCAGTCCTTTATATTGATAAACTTCATGACACTTTTATCATCTCCCCTCACTTTATAATTAGGTCTTTGATTTATATTGATGTAGTTCACACATGGAGGTGTTTCTTTTAATGGGAAAATGGCTCCACAATTATCTCCAACGATATGTGATGATGTGATAGACTGAATGACTAGATGGTATCTTCTGTGCACCAGATTTTTTTTACCAGCTGTTGATTTTCTCCTGTACAGTGGGATTGTGGTAGATCCTGTCTAGGTATTAATTGATTTTAATTGCCCAGATAAGAATTAAAAACAAACTATAACGCATCATTTGTGTGTGTTTGGTGGGGGGGGGGGGTCATTTTTATTAATAACTTTCTTGAAGGAAGCATCATTTTCACGATGTATCAAATTATCATAACTTCTTTTCTTTTTCCCTTTTTCCTATTTTTTTGTTTCACATGGTTCACATTGTCCACACTTTTAGCAATGGGAATGTTCAGTTGTTTAATGGTATGAGCAAATAGGCCTCAAATACCATGAATATTATATTAAATATCATATATTGAAGAATTGATGCCAAACCCGGTAATATGAGGACGGGGAAGGGCAGTCTTCTTCATTTCATGGTTAGGATTGCATCTAGATCAGGAACAATGCATCCACCTTACTCGTCATATAAACTTCCCTTTGAATAGATGGATATCTTTCCACCATTGTATGGAGATATTCCACTGATCAATTCCTCCTAGCTCCCATTATACATGACCCATTTCATGATTGTGTGTGAATGTTTTTGTCTCTCTTTTTTCTCCCTTTTTCTTGATATATACAGCCTCTAAAAAGTCCCTTTTTAAAGAAAGGTTGGAACTTGGAACCTGTAGTCTATATAGTCGTGTACATGTACATATAGACTTATTTTGTGGTGTCTTTTTGAATTTGTTCACAAGTAGCTAGAGCTACATGTGTAATGACTACCCTTCATGCTTAAGAATCGTTGCCATATTATATGTGTCCTTATTTTAGATGGCTGATACAAGAAACTAGTTTATCATAATGCAATATACAAGTTTATCATGCTTATGTTAAGCATAGGGTGTGGCACATTTAACATAAATGTTGAAGGGAGGTTAATTGAAAAGAGTTTGCCAAGATGAAAACATTACAAGAGCATGGTTGCTATGGAGATAAGGATGAGGGGTAGGAGGAGGATGGATGGTGAAGCTCAGGAAGGAAGATTCGGGATGACATTGTGTTGTCATTCTTTTGACTAAAATTTGAAGCTCAGATGTCATCCAACATTTGTTCTGGGCTTCATTTTGTAACAGAGAGAGGGTTCAGGTTTGGGTTGTTATTGGTTTTGGTTAGGTCTAGGGTTAGGGTTAAGTAGCAGCTTAAATGTTGGGTCCATGGTTGATGTTCAAATTTGGTTAGTGTCAAAATAACACACCAAGCATGATGAAGCATCTGTCACTAAACATGTATCATACAGGTACATTATTCAGTATACCGGTAGTGTGCAGACCAAATATAGAATCGATAGAGATGTGATGACATGAATTTTGACAAGATAGTCTATCTTTGAACCAAAAGAAGATCAACATTTATCTGTTTAAACGCACAGGGAAAGCAATCAATTACCCCTATCCTCCGAGAATAAAAACAAAAGTTCAGAAGACAAAGCAGTCTTGCCTCCAGGAAAAAGGATTTTCTCCTTATCAAGCATAATGAATTCAACTGGGTCTAGAATATATTCTCCTTTACTTTCCTTTCTCAAAGGGAGGCAAAAGAAGAAATCATTGTGACTTGTGAGAGGGGGAAAACACCTGTGAATAGTCTACATCTTTCAGACTTAGTTGAACTTGTATTTCATTGTGGGCAGGTGGAAATTAAGTTTGCCTCAGAGCCAGACTAGCTAGGTGACTAAAATGTTCTACGGATGAATGAGTGTTGTTGAGTCAGCCAATCGCTAACCCTCGTCAGAATCAGCTGAGTAACAGATGATAATGTCTCTTCATCAATCCCATGGATCCCCTCCAAATTGTTACTTTCTCTGGTGAGTACCCCCGCCTTACTGGCGATGAGCCATACTCCATTTTTAGCTTTCACCTGAGTAGATCATGGAAGTAGTGTAGGGTAGATGAGTGAAGGGTTGAACTCCTGAAGGAAGGAGAGAAAGAGGATGAGGGGGGTATGATTCAAATCTTGCTTCCACAAGAATATTGGAGGGGGTTACATGTAATGGGGGAGATAGATAGATAGAAAGACATGCCTCATGATAGGTTTGAAAGAATAGAGAGATACATGTTAGATGTAAGTACAGTCAAAGCTGTCTGTAGCGACCGCCCAAGGGAAACACAAAAAGTGGTCTTTGTAGACAGATTCCATTAGTACATGTTTTAATGAGAAACCATTTTCAGGGGGGGGGGGGGAATGTGGTCTTTGTAGACAGGTGGTCTCTAAAGCAGGTTTGACTGTATCACATAGTGGACATTATTTTATAACTTTCGATCGGACGACTAGGTAATCCACATCCCCCCCCCCACCCTTCCCCTGAAACATGCTCCACCTGTTATCCATCCTCTGCAGCGAGCCAGAAGGACATAAACTCCTATCAAATGTTTAAAAGGAAAGGTTTGCATGGCGAGAAGATAACTTAGAGTGTGGATTTGATTGAGCAATCCTGAAAAGGACTGAGAATCAATACAGACTCGATGTTTCGTCCAGGTTAACCGTCTGTCGTCAAATAACTTGATTTTACATATTCAATGCCCTACTGGCTCTCGGCAGATAAAATCTCAAACCCTTTTCCTTACCTTATATGGGGCGAGCAAGGTTTGGTTATAAAAGAAATATATAAATAGGGGGGAATTTCCCTTTCGCTGAGCTCTCAATCTCTCAATCTGTTTTGCACAGCTCATGTTCCTGTCGACTAATTTTTCATCCTTTACTTCTCCTTTTCTTCTTTTCTTTTTCAATTTTATACCTGTGATTCATGTAGCTTTGATAACAAACAACAAAGGTGTTTTCGCTTGATCGCAGTATGATGATACTCGGATCCTGATAGAAAATACACCATGAGTGTTCTGCCTTAAGCAGTCAGGAAATGGGTTGATATAATGATATACCGGTCTTTCAAAAGTGTATTAGTTTCCAAAAAGTCTCTATTTCTCTATTTCACTGTCTCTATCTGTATATCTGCATGTCTCTCTATGTTTTTCTGTCTGTCTGTCTCTCTCTCTCTCTCTCTCTCTCTCTCTTTCTATCTCTGTCTGTCTCCTTATCTTTCTATGTATCTATCTCTCCATGTCTGTTTCTTTAGAGCCTTTTTTTCTTTCTTTGTTCCCATTTAGTATAAATCCTTTTCCCATTAAAAAAACTTATATCTTTTCCTTGTATAAGCCTTTGTTTAAAACTTCTATAAAGCAGAGGATCAAATGAAATATGAGACATTTGAGCTCCTCTAGAGAAAGCATGCCACCTCACAGGAAACAGGAGATGGCAAAAGAGTTCCTCTTCAAATTTGTAATCAAAAGAGCTTTAGCTTGTCTTCAGAATTTTGAATTTGTTAGCTCTCTACCTTATAGACACTTGACTATGCCACTTGTACCAAAGGCCGCGCTGTTTGCCCTACTTTTCGAATGCTTGGTTATCTTATGCTAAATTGGCAAGGTGTACTGTGTGTACCCTGCAGCTACTGAAGTGAGAGCTTTCTATAACTTGTGCATTCAGATGGGTATTCTAGGGTGTCTGATCAGTATTAAATATATTAATTAAAATTCATTCTGACCATATTAATAAGACAAGCCTGCCGAATAGCTCTTTGCTTTATGATAAATAGTAGCTGCAATGCATGCAGAAAAGTTCGTTTAATTGCCAAAAGAAGCCAAAGACCTACCGTACCTATGAAAGTTATTTATAGGTATGAGGATATTGACATCTTGGCAAATGATATAACCTTTTTGTATCCTCAAACAGGAATGGAAGATTCAGAAAGAGAGGAGGAGAGGGGGGTAGGAAGAGGGAGAGAGAGGGAGCAATGAGGAGGGAGAGTGAGTGAGAGAGAGAGAGAGAGAGAAAGAGATAGATATAAAGAGACGGACAGACAGCCTGACAGAGACAGATATACATGTAGATGGACAAATGGACAATGACATACATATCTCGAGTGAAAGGGGACATGCATGGATATGAAGCAAGTTGCATGATCGCATATTTGTTTCCAATGTCAATTTTCAGTACTTCAGTGGTGACTAACAAGTTGTATGATTCTTCCTTTAGTGGTTGGAGAGTTGCAGCAGCATTTACAATGTATATTCTGGATCCTGAGGCCCGAGGACACCATCAAAATGGTTAGTGACATAACATTTCTTCTTTATATTTATGTCATCAAACTTTTTTTTATAAATTCATGACATAGATCAAGTAATTCATATTGATTTATTTTCAAAAGTGGAGCTCCCATTTAATTTATTTTGAATTGTAGAGATGAGGATCAAAGTTTGAATACCCACACGCAATAGAACCATGTTGAGCTTGAAACCTGGTTAAACCAAGAGTGCTTTGTACCCCATCTCCTTGTAGGCTATAGTTCTCAAGACACCGTTGACACTGCCACTGGTTAAATATTGCCTGTCTCCTGCCTGGATAGGGGAAGATGATATCTTTGATAATAATATTCTGCTTTTATATAGCGCCCAATACATCGATACAACGATGTGCCTAAGCGCTTTACAGATATATTATTACCCGGTCATCGGATTCAGGCTTACCCGCACACAATGTATGCACATTTTCCACTCCCTGGGAAGCATTCCAGCCAGTCGCCATTTTACAAGTGCACACTTGTCTGCTATATATGAATATTATCTTCAGTGGCTTCTCTAATATGCCTTCCCTCCCCTTCCCCCTCCACCCCATCACAGGCTGTCAGACTGGAGTCATCCTCAGACAACACCATCCGTTACATGGTGCTGGTCTCCTGCTTGGATACGCATCAGAACACAGAGGAGACCATCATCCTGGGCATGGATATCATCCAGAACAAGGCCACCATCGGACTGGTCTTACCCATCTGGGCGGATAGCATCATCCAGATGGATGGAGATGGAGGATTCTCTGTGACGACGGGGGAGAAGATCAACGTCTTCAAGCCAGTCTCTATACAAGCCATGTGGTAAGTAGAGGCCTTTGTCACATCCCACCTCACCCCTCCTGGAATATATCCTTTGAACGATTCTAAGACCACTACCCCGTGGACCCTTGAAAACTACCACTCTCACTTCCTCTGGCAAAATTTCCCCAAGGACAATTAACTTCCGCAAAACTACCCCGTAACTTATTCCTATTATTTCTACAGTAAACAAAGTTGCCTGAGGGGTATTTCTTTAATAAGGAGGTAGTTGTCTTAGGATCAGTGTCCTAGGGGTTATTTGTCCTAGAGAAAAGATACCTATGGATAGTTGTCTGGGGGGTAATTGTCCTTGAGGGTACTTATCTGGGGTGTGGTTGTGGTGGGGGGGGGGTGTCCGTTTGGGGTTATTGTCCAGAGATGATAATTATGGGGAGGGTTTTGGGGATGGAAATAGTCATCCAGAAATATTTTTAAAATTCTCCTAATCATACATTTCTCATTCTCTCTCTCTCTCTCTCTTTCTCTCTCTCTCTCTCTCTCTCCTTCTCTCCAGGTCAGCGTTGCAAGCCCTGTACAGAGCGTGCAACCTGGCCCGGGTGCACAACTACTTCATCGGAGGCCTTCACATGACGTGGATCGGCTTCTACCAAAGCAGCGTCTCATCACCTTACTACTGTCTCAAGGAATGGGAGTATCTTCCAGACATGACGTCCCCACAGAGTGATGAGATCAACTATCTATACCACAGAGAGTGAGTCATGCACCGCCATTCTGTCTCTCTCACTTTGTAGGCAATACCTGACCCTTATGAATAATCCATTTTGTGAAATTTGGGGGAAAAGCCGACATTCCGTCTGTGTCACTTTGATGATGATACTTGACCCTTATGAATAATCAATTTTGTGAAATTTTGTGAATATTAAACATAGATCTGTGGCTATACAGTAGGCTTACAGTTGCACCATGTGAGAGAGGGGGAGGATTGTGGTTTCATACATCATACATAATACATAATTCTCATGCATTTTAGTAAAAGTATGTCATTGCCCAAAATAGGAATTTTTGAAAAATGGAATGAAGCATTTAAGTTGAATCCTGGTGTTTTGAGTCACACCAATGAAAGAATCATCTGTAGTCTTAAACAGGAAATGGCTAGTTCAATGTAGTTGGTCATTTAATCTATCATTCATTACCAAGACTAATGTAAACTGAACAACAACTGAGATTGAAAGTTTGGTTTCCCTTGATATTTCATTTGTTCACAACCAAAAGAGCGTTAACTCTGTGTTAAAGTACATGAGTTAACAGCCTTCTGGCTCCAAACATACAATTTGGTCTCAACCCGGCTCTAATAGGGCTATCGGCTGGATAAAATTCTCAGAAATTCTAGGAATCATGTAGATGTAGTCTGTAATGTATGCGACAAAATCCCTTGGACTTGCCCAAAAAGACCTACAGGCAATATATGGACAATACAAGTATATTAAAGGTGTACTTACAGGTAGGAACACCCGTGTACGATTTACAGGTTTAAAAAATTTCATTATTTTTCTTTCTTTCTCTGTTTGAACTCTTTAGCCGTCGCTACTGTCCTACAGAAGATGAACTGATCAGAAGATTTATATTCGTCAAGTTAAAAGAAATCATGATTCAATGTGACCTTGAAACCGTTACCTCAAAAATGGTGAGAATACAAGATTAATTCTTCGCACACGTACGGTATCCTCGATCGCTCAAACCATTTCACCAAGACTGAACTACTTTCCCGGTAACCATGGTAACTGGGATTTTAGAACTATTTTTTAGAACTATTACATGGGTTTGGAATTTTACCGGGAATTTTACAGGAATAGTTAAAGTTTATGAATGCAATTTCGACCAATCAGATGGCTGGATTTCTTAAGTGAGGTATATAATATCCTTTAAAAACTTTTGTGTAACTTTTTTTTTAAACTTTTTTTTTTCTTCACCCAAAAGCAACTTGTTACCAAGGGTTTGTTGCTTTCTGGTAAAGTACTAGACAAGGAGATAATAATTATTTACTTTTCTTTCATCTCAATGTATTTTTCTTTCTTTCCTTTTCTCCCCATCTGTATTTTCTTGCCATTAATGATTGTCTATTTTTCTGTCACTTCTTGATATTTAACATCTATTTTTCTCATTTTGTTATCACTGCTCATCTCTCTTTCTCTCCTCTGTCCCTCTTTCCATCCTTCTGTCCCTCTTTCCATCCTTCTCTCCTTCCATCCCATTCATCCTTTTTATGCCGTACAGGTCAGGATTAGTCTTGAAAAAGAGATAGGCAAGGAGTTGAAAGAGTACAAGCGATTCATTGATAAACAGATCCTTCTTATCTGTGGCCAACTCGACTCTGCTTCAAAGATATTTGACCATATATACTTGGTGAGTATCCCTTCCCTTAATTTAAGGGACTTTTATTTAGCATTTGGACATTGTTTGAAATAGTTCATGAAAAAAAGTCTTTTTGATCATGCAATTACATTGAGAGAGAATCTGTCTTGAAGCCAGGGTAATGATTTCCAAAAAGCTTTTTGGGAGCGCATAGGGATGGTATAATGTGATATGCACTATACAAGAGCGGAATATTATTATCGTTATTATCACTTTTATTTCTATCATTTTCCAGGGATCTGAATGGAATGCGTCAGATCTTGATGAATTGGAGGAAAATGGGTAGGTTGACTTGTATTTAGTACTTCACTGTTTTTCATATCAGGAGGGCATATTGACATGGTCTCAAGTTTCAAGTGTGACCCTCTATCTATAGGCTAGAGTTTTGGAGAACAAAACAATAAAATAAACTTTTATGGATATAAAGTTTCAAAAAAATAAATGTTTTTTCAATTTGAGGTCCCAGTTGCTTTATGGACTAATATTGAAATGTCAGTGTGTTTTCGGCCTACAAGTAAAAAAAAAAAAAAAAGAAGCTTTTAGTAGTACCGATATACAAATCCCAGCATTTATCATTTATTTTTAAAATCTTGAAATAAGTTCTAGTAGAAAGAAACTACATAAGAAGATTCAAACTTTTATCAATGTGAGGTTCCAATTTTATATGAATAATAATATTGTAATGACATTGTGATTTCCATTCCAAGAAACTGTCTTTCAATAGTAGTGACATCATACTCGTCCCATCAGTTATTATTTTCTCACCCCTAAAGACCATTAAAATTTCAATGTTTCACTTTGCTTTGAACGTAAGATTTATCCGGTAATATATCGAGGGTTCAGTGACACAAAGACATAACTCAATATTTTGCCAAAATAAGTATTTGATATCAAAATGTTCAGGAAAATGTGAGCTTTCCAGGAAACACAAAGACTTAACTCCACCCAATACCCCCATTGAAGTCAATGGCTAGTGAAACATAGACTTAACTCCTTAGGGCCCAAGCGCTCAGTGACACATAAACCACTTTTTCTCAAATTGGCCAAAATGGGGTTACGTCTTTGTATCACTGACCCCTCTGTATGTATACATTTTTTCCATTTAACTCACAACAGAGTGGGCTACATCTTAAACATCACCAAAGAATGCGATAACTTCTTCCCGGAACGTTTCAAGTATTGCAACATCCGCCTGTACGACGATGTGGAGGAAGACCTCTTGAATCACTGGAATACCACCTACCTCTTCCTCTCAAAAGCCAAGTGAGTCCTTCGTCTGCACTTCAGTTCGGAGTCCTATCCAACAAACAATTATTTTTGGTGGTCGATCAATCAGAATCAATCAGAATCAATGGCAGTAGTTCTCATAAGTTATCTATATATCAGGTCTTCGCGCCATTACATAGAGGTCATTTCAAAGATATTCTTCAAAAGTAATCACTATGTATCTGATTTTTTAAAGTGTGCCAATCACCTTGAAAAATAATGTGCGTATAGCGAGAATGTATAAAGCCAACCTAGAAAAAACATTACTTGTTATTCTATGGGTCAGCGGATAAGTAGTATGAAGGAGATAGAGAAAAATATTATAGCCCACTCACGGAACTCAATTCTGACTTGGATATTGTTGGAATGAGACTCCCTTACTAATCCGCAAGGAGTATTAAACTGGTATGATTTCTTCTCTATTTACAGAGAGGCAGGTTCCAAGGCTCTAGTTCACTGTAAGATGGGAATCAGTCGATCTGCTTCAACGGTAAGTCCACTTCATTTATTTTTTATTTTGATTCATTTACAGTTTTATTTAAGCAGGGATGCTTTTTCAGTTAACAAAGTGCTATTTCCTGAATGCCCTGCACAGTAAAAACAACGTATATAAAACATTTACAGACTTCGCAAGGGATTGAGAGTATGAATCCCAGCCTGGAACCACTGTCTTTTGGTAAGACATTAATCCACATTTGCCACTCTCCACCGTGTGTAAATGGGTACCTGGCAGTTGCTATGGTAATTACATTTGCAGGGTCCGCAGGAAGAGCAGTATAGTACTGATGTGGTTACCCTGTGTTAATAAGAACCAGTATTAATTTTATTTTTCCAGATTTTTTCTTCTTTTTTCTTCTTCTTCCTGATTTTACCACTATTTTCCTGATTTTCCCTCATTTTCCCCTATTTTTCCCCAATTTTCTTACTCAAGGGGGGGGGGGGGGGGGGAGGAATTTTTTTATTTTTTAAAAATTATTTTTTAGTGCTCACTATCACCCCCTTATTGTTATTATTTTTGATTACCTTTTTCAGGTGATAGCCTACGCCATGAAGGAGTACGGGATGACCTTGGAGTATGCCTTGGACTTTGTCAAAGCGAAACGATCCATCATCAGACCAAACGATGCCTTCATGAAGCAGCTCCAAGTCTATGAGGGAATCCTAGAAGCAAGGTAGGGCCAATAGACTAAACAGTTTGTACCCTTACACATACCTGCCAACCCTTACAAATAATCTGGAATATTCTGAATTTCTGGATTTCAAGGATCTGAAAATCCGGAATATTCTGATTATTTTGTGGTGCTCTAAGCAAAATTAAGCTTGTTTTATCATGTGCCACAATTTGAGAGTTCAGGTGTTGTCTGTGTTTAATGGCTGCATGCTCGAGCAGCAAATTTGTATTCACTTTTTGGTACAGATTTACCGCTTATTGCCAGTTACACCGACGCTGCAAGTGCGATTTCTTATTTTCGAAGGCATACCGTGCTAAAAATTCCTAATTCTTATTTTCAAATGTTGGCAGGTATGCTTTCAGTGCTCTAGACGTTTAACCTACATCTGCCACCTGTGCACGGTTGCCCCTTTACCTCATGTACAAATCAGGACAAAATTGTAGGCACCAATTAGCGTAAGAGTTGCGTTAAAGCCATACTGTACTAGAAGCTTTACCGCAATATTCCCTCTAGCACCATCTCGGGTCAGCTTTAGCAGTATGGTCCCGTAAGTGGGATTAGGTATTGGGTTACAAACTGTTGGCATTTTGACCATTAGATAGCGCTGTGCAATACGCAGTATGCTAGAGCAGAAAGTTCATTAGTGCAAATTATTTTAGGCAACAAAAAATTGCAGATTTCAGGTCTATATTAGCGCTGTGACAACCCTTAACACCTGTCAACAGCCCATGATAAATACACTGAGGTACAGAGAGTTTATTTGTGTGACATATAAAGAGTTGATACTGCCCAAATCTGGATTATAGTGATGCAAAATGGCAATTATCATGCTTCCCTAGTAAGACTGCCTCTCAGAATTTTGAAAGAACTTGTTTAAGAAAAATTGCTGCTGGCAACAAAATATCATACACATATGAAGGCCTATAACTCTGATTTTTGTGTTAAAATGATTTGTGACTTGCACTACACTTACATTACTAATTTGCCATGATGGTTTATCGTTTTTTGAAAGAAACTTTAAGTTGATAGTGTTTTTTTATTTGGTCTTCCTTTAGTCGTCAGAGACACACGATGTTCCGCAGTAAATCTGAGAGTTCCCTGAGTCGCAGTGAATCCGTGGAGTGCCTGGCAAGTGTCAAACCTCCTGAATTCGGCAGCACTGAAGACCTCTCACCCCGAGGTATGCCGAGAAACAAGTCTTTCTCTGTTCGAGAGAGAAAGAAGAAGATAGAGGAGTTGGACTCACCCGAGGGTGCTGTTGGAGGACCATCATTCTTCATTGGACCGGATCCAACTCACCTAGGAGCAGGAAAATATGTGATGGACACTGGTGAGCCATTGTGTGAGGGTGCTGTTGGTAACGACCCTGGTGTCAGCGATTGCAACGATTTCCAGGTCTTAGTTCCCCCGACGGTCAGACCGAGCTCCATCGTCAAACTGCAGAAGGAAGGGGCATTAGCCTTAGGGGATGTCCCTTTCGTTGTCGCGACTGAACCTGCGGCGTTGTCGTCTACAGTACTGTCCTCCTCTAAAGAGCCGGTGAGTAGTGAAGCGGACACTGTGGAAGGCTCTAGCATGGAAGATACCATGCTGAATACGAACAACAATAGTGCGAATGAACTCTCCTTAGACGGCTCTGATGAGGATATGTACCAGAGGACAAGCGTCAAGTCAAAGGTCACTGAAATAGAAAGTAGTGTAATGGGCGCAATGGACGCAACCGAAGAGGAAGGTGAGGGGGAAGGGGAAAGTGAAGTAGGGGCGTACAAGAGGGAGTCGATCCCTTGGAATCCTGGAACAGTACTACGACAGAAGCAGGAGATTGAGGAGAAGATGAGGGACGGGAGTCCTACATCGTCAGTGTCAATGAAGTTTGATGATGAGGGTGAGGAAGGAGATGAGGAAGGGAGATCAGAAACACAAGTTGTCTCCATCGTGGATGAGCTGGCCTCATCTGCAACTGGGAGCACTCAAGATGACTTGATTGATTCACCAGGAACAAACCGTAAAGACTTAGATGTAAATAGGACTGAAGGTGGAGAGTGTGAAAAGAACCAACAAGATGGGGAAAATCGCAGTGTGGACGATGCAGAGAATGCGTCGGCGCCTATGGACGTAACTGAGACGACAGGCGACAACAACAGATCGTCTGTCTACACCACTTCGGGCGAAGAGATCCAGCTCTCGATGGGGTTGGTGGAGCGACATAAGAGAGAATTTGAGCAGAAGACTGCAGCGGAGGTGCTCCAACAGGACACAGAGACCGATGCTGCAGTGGACGATGCAACGGATTTACCGTGCGGTGCTCAGGGCAGTCCTGGTGTGTGTGAACCGTTAGAGGAAGAGAGAATGGATGTCCAGGAGGAGGAGGGTGGTTGCACCTCAACGGTGTATCCGGATGAAGCGAGCGGCTGGAAAGTTGGAGATGTGAGGAGACACACCATGGAACTTGAAGAGAGGATGGAACTGGGTGAGTTAAGAATGAAGAGATATATCTTTCCTAAAGTGAAATCTGAAACTGACATAAAATCCAGTTGCAGCCCTAATCCAAACCTTAGATAATTGGCACAATAAAGTTGAGAGTAATTCTGTAATATCTTTTTGAACACCACATTGCATGTATGACGTGTACTCTTATGCACATGAAAGTATGTGTAGTTTATCAAAGATATGAAATGCTGTGATTTTGAAAGGAAACTGATGTTTTCTATTCTAAAAATGAAAAATCAGCCAGCCTTTTGAAGAAATAAGAAGAAACACTACCTACATAAAAACATGCATGCATGAAAAATAATTGTATTTCTTATGTTCATAAAAGGGATCTAGTAACTTTGTCTTAGATTCTAAATCCTGGATTTAGCTCATGCTGCAATGATAATTATAAACCATCAGGACAGTCAGGAACCCTATGACTTTTACAAGCCGATCGCCTGTCTAATTATCAAGATATTTATGATTGGAAATCAAAATTTCATTTTTCATTTCTTAATGTTTTGGTAAAACCGGTCACTCAAAGATTTTTACTTTTTCGAGGCACTTCATAATCATTTTGAATCGCATTTTTTAAGGGCTTCAATATTACATCATATCACAGACACTGATAACACGTAGGGCCATGCATCTTAGATTTAACATTGTTAAACAATGCCTTTAAATAATGATGTTCCTGTCATATTTTTGGCTGACAGCTTCGTCACCAAGTCCCACCAAGAAGTCAGTATTCTGGCAGGATCGTGACGGAGACGAGCAATCAGAGCTGACTAGCGAGGAGCTGAGAAACATCCAAGAGATGGACATTCCTCTCAGATCATCCAGTCCTGATGGTGTGACGATGGATGCGGAAGGTGAGGAATGATGATAATAAAACAAAAAGCCTGTCATCCTATCGTATCAAGTTATGATAAGGTGCATTTTGTATATATTGTCATGCTACCATCTGACAAATATAGAGTTGTATAGGGGCATTTAATACACCGATCTCAGCCAGACTGAGAGACCGCCGCCTCCGTTTCAGTGGGCACTGCTGGAGGAACAAGAGTGAAATCATTTCACAAATGCTCTTCTGGGAGCCCTCAAGGGGCAAACGCACCAGAAGGCGCCCAGCAATGACTTACATTGACCAGTTAGAAAAAGAAACCTGTCTACCAAGGCAGGAACTCCTAAAGATCACGAAGAATAGAACGGAAAAAGCTTGTCAAATCAGTGCGAGTACGCTAGACCTAGTAGTAGTCATGCTACTTGTAATTGAAGGTTTACATCACAGGCAAAAAAAATCATGAATTTTAGGATTATTTGGAGCAGGAGGATACATAACAATAAGGAAAGAATCATAGCAATATATGACATGTAAGATTTGAAGAAAGAAAAATTTGTTCATGTACATCAACAGAAATCACTTTAAATGCTTGCCATCATTTTACCATTGCCACAAATGATTTGACTTTTGAAATTTAATCTTTGTTGCTTTGTCTTCAGCAGGGGAGTCAGAAGTTCTGGTGGGTGTGGCAGAACAGGTCAAGCAACTAGAATTGAGAAGATGCCGCTCCATAGCAAAGATGTCCAACGAAAAAGTCAAGACTTTGAGAGCGTTGATTGGAGTGGGGGATGAAAAGCCTGTCAGCGAGTCTAGCTCATCAGCAGAAGCTACGTGCAAGTCAATGGCAGATGAACCTCTGGTTGAACTGAATCCAGACACGGTTAGACTCTTTACCAGTCAGATAGGTTGCGAGGTCACGCTAGACCAGAAAGCGGCGACGGGAGAGAGAAAAACACGGAAGAGCGAGTCAGACAAGGAAACGCCCAGCTCCTCAGGGTCAAAGATCAAATCGCAGCATGGCCCCTCCCATCCCTTGCGCAAGCTAGCACAAGGGGGTGCAACAGGGCGGGGCACACGAGGGAAATTCTATAGTACCATGTGATTGTTTACAAAATCATTGTCTTCCATCCGTTGATCAAAAAGTGCTCTGTACAAGTGTGTGTCTTACTGTGTAGCTCTTATGTTTAGATTTCCTTTCAATAGACAAAGCTTTTACACGTATGTCAAATATGATGAGATATAAAAGCTGTACAATCAATGTTCGATGGTTGGATTAGATTATTTCTACTGGAAACGGCAGGGACGTGTCGCAAATATATGTTGAAGTAAATTGGTTTATAATAATGCACAGTGTTGGTAAAAGCCAAAGAGGTCAACATATATTTCTTTCTTCCATTTTCCTCATGTTTGGATACACCTAAGAAGAACGCAACCCAGCTATTATAGTTAGCTTCGATAGGCAGGATTTCTGAGAAATCCTTTGTTTTGTGGTTTTTTCCAGTATTGATCCCATTTTAGAAATTTATATTTTGTTAAAGCTGATACAATATCTTGTTGAGATAAAATGAATTGCAGCTGAGCTTTTAATTCACATTGATAAACTTCAGAAACAACAATTTTCCACAAGAGAAAAGGGTATTGTAAGAGCAAATACTTTAATAGATAACCCCAACCTATGTTATCATTTCTTTGCTTTCAAAGCTAGTTAAGGAGACCTGGGCCCCATCTTATAAAGAGTTGCAATTGATTTGAATCGATCTCAATTTGAAATTGATTGCAACTCCGTACTAAAGAGATAGGAGATGCTTTTGACATCAATTGCAAATTATATGTAATCAGTGGCAAATATTTTATGAGACGGGCCCTGATTTTCGATTTGTCATAAGCCAACCAAAGACATATACACCAAACAATAAGACCTCATCCAACATTGTGTATTACCCTAAAGCACCGTCACTCCTTTTTAATATGAATATATGGCATATCATTTGTGGAAAGAAAACTTCTTTTTTTGATGTTATCTGTTCATGCATAATTACATATGAATGAGTCAATGAATTTAGTGTGAATTTTCTTTTCCTTCTTCCTCTTCTTCTCCTTCACCTTCTTCTTCTTCTTCTTTTCCTTCTTTTCCTCCTTTTCCTTCTCTTTTTTCTTCTTCTTCTTCTCCTTCTCCTTCTTCTTCATCCTAGAGGCAGAAATATTTCTATATTTCCATTTTCACCCTCTTTTTCTTGTCACAGTGCTTCAGATTTAAAAACCTTAAGAATCTTCTCTCTGTTATAGTTATTGCAAGGACGTCTATGTTCTTTTGAATTTACTGAAATCTTAACAATTCTATGAAATACTGATCATGCTATTTAAAGTCAGGCTGGTTATTTGAGGATGTTTTTGCTCTCTTTTGTTATATAGATTATATGAAAATGAAGGATGTGTCACATTTCTTCAAGCATTATGGAGGTTGAGACGCTACAGAACTATTCAAAGATAAAAGTTGTGTGTGTAGTGACATCTTGAAAGTCGCAGGTTGTACCTATGTGTAGACTGTCTGCTGTGAAGTGGTGCTAGGACATGTGTGTTCAGAAAGAATGTGAAACTATATGTTTAGTCTTAAGTGGTATGAAGGTTTCGACAAGAGATTTAATGTGGTCTAGTCCAAGAAGGGGTTTATGACATATGAATTCATAAGCTTATGATGTTAAGGTACTGTTGTTGTTTACATGTACATCATTTTGTGATTTGTGACAAGCTTTAGCTCATTGTGTAAGGCTTGACTGTGTGAAAGATGCAATGGCTGGTGTTCAGTCTATTACTTTTGTCTGGTAAATTGATTTGTTCATGTTTCTTTCATCTTTCAATATTAATCACTGACATGATGTAGGCCGAGAATCATCCATTTCCACATGCTTAGAATGATGTTGGGATAACATGTCGTAAGAATACCTATCATCATTATGCAGTATGTCTTTGTAATAATGTGCATTTTCATGAATGTTACTGAACAATTAGCAATAATCAAATAATAATTAATGATTTCTAAAAATATGAAAAGATAATATGTATGTATGTATAAAATTGCCTAAATTGACTTAATAATATTTCTTGTGGTTATACCAATTCTGACCTTCCGCTAACACTCCAAAGTTAGGTATTACTAGAAATATTTGACGAAGATGAAGATAATTCCATTGAGAAACTCTGAAAGACCAACATGTTTTGACTAATACCGATAACCATGTTTATTTTTGTCTCAGTCTACTTTTAAAAAAAAATGATTCCAGTCTTTCCATGCAGTATATTAATAAACAATAATTTGTGTGTATTTGATTTATTATAATGATCAATATTATTCTTTCTAATTACATTTCTCTAAATGTAGATTTAGAATTAATAAGCTTTGACCAACTGAAAAAAACAGCTCAGAACTTGCCTCCCTTCATTTGATTTAAAGCAAATAAACATGATTTACATGCATAGGGTAAATAATGATAGGCTAAATGATAATTATGGTAAATTACTCTTATAATATTGAAGATTTTTGTTAAATTATCACTCTCACAATTTTTCTCCCTTCTCTCTCTCCTTCTCCTCTGTCGCACTCTCTATCTTGCACTTCAAGGGCATCGCTCTCATCTGTCCTTTTTCTTTTCCAGTTTGAGATCGAAAGGGGGCAGCAAGAGGCTCACCTCCCCCCCCCCCCCCCCAGTTTTTAGGTTACTCCCATAATGTACTTTGCAGGTGAACCCGTTTTTCAAAAGCTTGGATTTGTGACTATTTTCCCTTAATGTTTGTATTGGTTTACTTTTGCTGCCTAGTGATTTGTTGAAAATTCACTTGCGACCCCTTAAGTGGAGATTACAATTTGTTACGCTCTTTTTCAGTCTTCTATTAAATCTTGCCAAATATAGTCCTGCTTCATTTCTTCTTCCTTATACATCCCTTTTGATACATAACTGCTTTTTTATGATTGTATTTATTAGCTATTTTATGACATATCATACGTGGTATATTCTCTAATAGTATATTATGAAATAATAATGAAAGTTTTGTTGGATAAGACAAATTAATGTATTTCATTTATTGGTATTGGTTGTACATATACATAAATGTAAGACAAGCATATACAATTGTATATATTTAGATTTTGTTTATTTTGTTATTGTATCATATAAAACTGATTGTACATATTAACAATATCAATATTATATATATCATTTTATCCTGATTTTTTGTTGGTATCTCGACACTTTGTTATGTTTATTGACCACCCATCACATGTCTGGAAGGTCTTAAAAGCAATGGATTCCTTTGTGATGAAATCGCACACCTTACAACGTTAAACCATACTCTCACAAGAGCACATCTTTTGAAAGCCGGAAGGGTATTACCTTTGTGACACAGTCCTTATACATGTACATGAGTTAATGTCTTTCTGGTTCCCAATAGACGATATGGAAGATTGACCCTTGGTGGTTTCTGTGACCTTCTTGTACATTGACCTTTGACCGGTTCAGTACTGATATGTCACACGGCTCATGAAGGCTTTCCATGAATGTGAAGAGGTTAGTGGGATTGCAGTCTGAAGGGGATGTTTGACTAGCTCCACCCATAAGGTAAGGAGTCGGGCCTACTTGGTGGGGTAGATTGGTGGGGCGGGGCGGGGGGGGGGGGGGGGTGAACAAAGGCAAGAATGGTTATAGTTTGGATGAAAATAGCAAAGATAGTCTCTGGAAAGGAGACCTTATGTCTTTAGATTGGCACTGGCATAGTCGCCCATCTTAACAGCGCATCATTGTATTGCCTTGATTTACCCCCCCCCCCCCCCCTCCCCTCTGAGGGGCTGCCCCAATATTAATATTAATGAAATAATAAGAAGTGGCATTGCCTCATCCATCCACTATCTAATTAACAGTGAAAACATTGTGATAGAGAAGTTCATTTGTATGATCCCTCACAAAGCACTCCTGAGACTATTCCTGTGAATCGATGCATTCTTTGTGTAAGCCAAATAATCTGTGAGCTTCATTCTATTGTTACCCGAGTAAAATGATCCTTTTGAGCACTTATTCCTTCATTTATACATTTCTTTGGGAAAATTTCATTTCAGATAGATCAAGCTTGTTGCAGTGTAGCAGCAAACGTGAAATATGCATGTATACAGTGTATGTGTTGCCAAATGTAAAGAAGATTTATTTAGAATCTTACAATTCCTGTTTGATTGGTTAATTCTTCCAGTAGCCATCAAAAAATATTTTAAAAACTACCTGTATTTGCACCCGGATTTGATCCATAATTAAGGACTCAATAAAATTCTGACCAAAGGCCAACATTGTGAAATGAAAATAAACAAATATGACAATGCTCAAATTAGAAAATTTTAAACTACTATAACTGCAATTTTGGATTTTGATGCATTTTGAATTTTTTAGTAAATATGAATTGTGAACTTTTGACCAAATAAATATTAGAAATTGTACTTTTGGGTGTTATATATTTATGAAAAATACAGGTATGTAAAATATAATGGAAAAAAGCTAACAAATTATCATGACCATACATGTATTTGTAGATTTATCAAAGTGATATGTTTAATCATAAATATTTACAACCATCTGTTATCTAAAATTGATAGTATTCTCCAAACCCTCAACTATGTTAAATGCCTGTTTGATATATGAGAATAAGATATTTTTGTTTTGTATACAATCTTTAAAATTGGAAGATTCTTACAAATTGTTTTGTTATTCTGTTAACTCTTCTAGAAATAATTATATTTTACATTCCATTACAAAGGTACAACCCCCGGTCATATTATCTCTGAACAAATTGGAAATGTACACTTTCACAATTTAGGGTGATTTTATTTTGTTACAACTCAAAATTACCGCTAACTGCAATGCCATTGTGTTGGTGTAGAGTTCTAAATATCTGTGGAACATGAAAACATTGAAAAGCTTTTTTAGAAATTTTGGAATGGTCTATGGACGTATATTTCATTTGTGTAGTCCTGGTTGTTTAAAAGTTGCATAGCAGCGCAAATTGTTCTACGCCTGTGGAAATGTTACATGTTTATATATTTTTGTCTGCTTTGGGCCTTGCTGGCAAAGTAAATGTTAAAACCAAATTTAATTTGCTAGAATAACACGTAGAAGGTGTGGTATTTGATATGAGGTGGGAAAGCAGTGCAGTATATGATGTGAAAAAATGCTTGCTTCATAATTTTGTATGGTAAGAAATAAATGGTGGAATTTATGGGTGGACAATGCGAGTGTCTTGGAGATTCTAATAAAAAGACTGGACTCAGAGACTAGCTGTAAAGTGATGTCCCTGAAAATGGTTCATGCAAAGGAAACTTTAATGGTTGTGTCACGTTTGATTTCTTCTTGTGAGACTAAGTAGTTTAATTACTGCTATAAGATATGATTTTATTTAAAAACGTAGCAAATGTCAAGAATTTTGTATGATTTTCTTGGTGAAATCTACATGTAGACAACAAAGCACATTTCATAAGTTTAAACCTACACAAAAAATTATCTGGGTCTCTCCCCAATTTTGAAATTGTAACTCTTGTTTACTGGTTCTTGCACAAGTAATCCTTTAACTCCCCATCACCACTCTTCCAGAAAACACCCCTGTACATACATACACCCACACACACACACCCCACTTGGAAAATTCCCAACTGGATGTAGATGTGCAGCCCTTGCAAAATACTTGTGCGAGGACAAAAAAGGTTTTTACATCTCTGCATGTTCAAAACTGAGATACTAAGATTCATACAATTAATAACATTGAATAGCTTTTCTTTTGTGGGATACTCGTGAAATATTCTCCTCAGCCCTTGTATCCCACTCAAGGCCATTCAATATTATATGAATATCAAACAATGAGGAGAACTTACAAAAGTATTTTATACAATTACTTTTATTGCACCATATTCACAAAACGGATACAAAATAGATACAAAAAAGACTTTTAAAATGTCACTTCTTTGCCAGTTTGGTATAAGGTACATGCATAATAAAGACATCGTCAAAAGCATGCAGCTCCATCAGAAATGTTCACATGTATAGGGTGTTAATACTTTCTGCAATGTTCACACTGAAATACTTGTATGTTTGACGGTTTACCAATGGAGATTTGATAAAATGCATTTTCAAGAGATCATAAATGGAGCGTTGTCTGGCTGATCAAAGGGATAAGGCAAGGCAAAGTACAATGACTTCCTGGGCTTGCAGATCTACTCCTAAAAAGAAAAAGAAAATTGTCTTTTTTCCTCCAAATATATTTTGAACAATTCCATACCCCATCTCTGAATCTAAAACTAATAAAATGCAACAGCAGATTAGGATCCAACCTTCACAAGAGAAAACAGTCTGCTTGACTGACCTTTTGGGATTATTGTTGCAACATAGCTATCATATGTTGATAAAATTCATGAAGATCAAAAATAAAATTCATCTTTGACCTATACAATATGACTTTTTTTCAGCACCAGTTCAAAACCTTCAATTTTAATGAGGCAAGTCAAGTCGAGAGCAAAAATATATGTCAACTAGCTGTCTTCTGGCCTCCTCTGAAATACTAGCTGAGAACAATTCAAGAACAATTCTTTATATCATAACGATAGAACCCAGGTACCTTTAAATCAGAAGCACCTAAATATGCTTGTGAAAATCTCATATAATATCAAGCAAGATGGCACGTTGTACCTTGAAAATGTCTCTTAGTTTTTAAAATGACAGGTATGGTATTCACAGTAAATCTATTTAATGCATTATTGAATAGACATCAACAGAGAGTTTCCTTGAAGACTGATTTTAGCAAAATATCTTGGAGATTTTTGCCACCTCCACAACAAAAGCCTTTGTGCAGTATTTGAGATTCCTGCAAAGGTGACTAATATGAAATACAGATTTACGTGTATAACTAGACTTCAGTCAAATTCTTTTTTTCACCTTTGGCATTTTGATCCTAAATATAGCATTAAAAACCTCACGCATATTATAATAACTCCATTCAAGAGAAGCTTGTCACATCCATGCACATATAATCCAAGGGATAACATGATGTTGGAATTCTATCATGTGAATTGCTGGTTCTTGGTTTGTAACTTTATTTTAGTAACACCTGCTTGAAAAACATCTGCCACCGTCCACCCAGGTTTAGTAAATTGGTACCGGGTAGGAACTTAATCCTTGAATGCTTTGAGTGCCTCAGGGCAGCTGGGCTAATACAAAGGGTTATAATATTACTTTGTAGGCACATTGTGTATCCCCTTATGTGCAATATAAGTGTAGCTTATATTATTTTTTACTATAATACCATGATGACGTATTTTTGAGGGAAACTATTTTATATGCTTTGATTCAAAGCAATTTGCAATCAAAATGTCCATAACTTAAGGATTTGCAGCAGATATTTTTTTAATCTTTTTACATGACATTGATAAAAAAACATAAAACAAAAAACAAAGAACAAAGATATAACAAAGATACTTTTCATTATTACATAACAAAACTCAATTTCAGAATAGGTACACATACATGTAATGAGGAAAATTGATCTGCATAGTATGTTTCTTGACTACACATAAATATATCAACATGCCGTTGAAAAAAAATTGAGAATCAGAACTGGCTGGCAGATACAGCTTCTCAGTGACTTTGATATAATAAAATAGGTTGGTGCAAATAATATCAAGTCTAAATATTTGAGATATAGTTATCACTTTATTTTATTCAATATAACATTGAATCTGATGAATTCTAAAGACCCTGAGACAACCACTGTACACGTATGCTGAATAAAATGAAATTAATTCCAAGCATTGACAAAATAATTCAGTTTCATGCATTGATTGTTGCCATACCAGGCAATGTCACCATTAATATACCTTTAACAGCAAACACTCCATCAAAGCATGTACAAGACTACATCAAGGAAAAGCCTCAGTTTTGAGTGTTGTTAACCTAGATTATACATCTGGCCTGTAAATTAGATGGCACTCTTTGGGTTATATCACATTTTCTTGCTGGTCTCAAAAAGCCATGAATTTTCTTTAAAATTTGGGACTTTGAAATTATGCAACTGGAATTTTGATCTTACAATCTAGATATTCAACATTCAAATATTCTACACAGCAATGTCTGGACCCGAAGGTGATCCCAAATACATGAACTTGAGGACTTGGAAAAACCCTACATGCATATATTTTCATCAAAGAATACCCCGATTTTGTTCCTGCCTTGCATGCTGGCAAAGAATTTGGCATTTGAACGGTTCTACGACACCTGCACTTTATATCCCAAATTCATTAATTTTCTTCATAACTTGAGCCAGACACAATACCTGACCCTAATCCTAAATCTAAACCTAACCTAAACCCTATTGCAGCCTCAACCCTAGATCGAAAGCTTCAGTCTCTGATATCAACGGTTGTTCCGCTGACATTATATCTGGCTCCAGCAGCTCTGACCGCCTCTATCTTGACAAATGTCAGTTTTATTAAAGAATGACCCATACCAAACGGTTATTTCTGTCTACCTCAACCCTAACCCTAACCCTACTTTATGTCCTTCACAAATTAAAGCCTGAAGCAAGTGTCACCATTGGGACCAAGGGTCAGGTCACCATCATAGACTATCCTTGTTTCACTCATCTAGTTATAATTGAACAACGTAGAATGTAAGAGAACTAAATTATTCTAGATTGTACTTTGGAAATATTCCTGTTTATCATGAGGATACTGTAATAATAAAATACACACTTCATTTCCTTATATCCTGGTTAACCTACATTCTTAGCTGACAATTCTGAGTATGTATTACAATCTAAATAAATATAGTAATGTAAATGCATTGGTGCTACTCAAATGAAACATACCGGTAAATAATATGAATAATAATTTAATCATCTATAGCTCAAAAATGTACATATAGTTATCAAATCTATGGTTAAAAACATATGAATACAATCTAGTTACCTGAATTCCATGAAAAGGATATATTTTTGTCAATATCTATATGTGTTCTCATGAGCAAGATAGTGGTGTGCTATTCCCTTCTTTATAAGCACATAATTATGTCTTGTCCTTGAAAGCTATAACAAAAGTTTGAGCACAGTCTTGTTGCACAAATAACGCTTTCATCCCTAAAGGCTTAAATAAATAACATACATATAGCCCATCATGTTGGTAAACAAAGAATGTTGTTGTTGTTCTTATTGTATTGTTATATACATAGGGCTACATTTGCCTAGGAATTGTGCAATCAATAAATCCTTAAATAATTACCATCATTAGGATATAGTCATCTCTTTTAAGATCATCTTTCATGGAATCCAGGTACATGACCTGCTAAAAACATGCAATATATTAAATCAAACGAAAAGTTGGCAGTCTAAAACATCAATGATAACTTTCAAACTCATTATGCACACACACAGACACAACCTTCAAAACACTTTGATAAAATAAAACCCACAATTACAACCAGGGGAAACAGAAAACATCCTAAAACACAAAAAACAATTAATTTGAAACTGAACTGTCCATTTAAAAAAAAAAGATAAATTTTCTTGAGACAATGCACTGCTCATCAAGTTAAATTTATTCACCTGTGATTAGCCTTATTTTAAGATTAGGTAATACTTCCCCTTTACTCAGCACTACAAGACATATCAATACAAGTGTTCAAGGCACATTGAACCATTAGACCACTGTTAAGCATTTAGGAATAATAATTAGTAGAATTGAATTGATGTGCCAGATTATGTTGAGCCGACTGACCAATGCTTTACCTGTGTGTTTAGTCAGTATGCTTGGCTAAAAATGGTGCCATGTATTAACAGATATTCCAAAAACACAAAAGATATAATTGTTGAAAATCGTTTATCTTATTGCATAGCAGCAGAACCATAAATACTACTTATATTTAATAGTATTATAATCTTAAGTTATTTTATTTCTAGACCAACTTTTTCTCATTCCAACTTTGTTTGATATAGGTAATCATAATTTTTTAATTGATTAGAGTGATTGACTCCATCAAAGCCTTCTTTTATAAATCAAGGCCTGTATATAATTTCAAAAGTTATATTCACATTTAGTTAGGTTACAAAGGAACATCCCTTTATTAAGTAAAAATGTGTTCTACATATTTTTACATAATAGCAGTGAAGGGATGTTCCTTTGTCTACCACAGCAATTGTTGAGGGTAGAATGAGGAACTGTATATTTTGTCCTCTTTCTTTGTCCGTCATGTTCATATCGCAGACCACTTGATGACTTCATCAAAATCAAAATTGTAAAACAAAGATAAAAGACAGACTGGTCAAGAATCTAGTTCTAAAATTCTTCTCTGCATCCTGAGTAAAGCATATTAATATTAGAAAACATTCGGTAGAACCCTGTTCTTTCTTCCTGCTTCTCCAGAAACAGATGGAATAGTGTAAACACAAATATAGGATAGGATTAAATATGTAGTGTGAACGCTGGGCTTATATACAGGCAATGCATGACTTCAACTATCGACAAGCGAAGTATAAAGAGAAAAGGCAAACTATTAGGCACACATGCATTTTGATTGGACCTCTAAACAAATGTTTGGTTTGGTGGATTGTTTTACCCGACTGCTAAGAAAGTATACGTATGCTTGAAAGTAAGCGACAAGGGGACAGACGGCTTTGAGTCCTCTACCAGGGACTTGGTTTCGAACCCAGGACCTCCCGGTTACGAGACCACTGCTCTACCACTACGCTATCGCGTCTCCTTGTTGTTGGTTACACCTCGTTCAGATAGGACTCAGTAAGATTTAACATGCCCCTACTTTTTGAATTAAAATAAAAGTATTCTCATTTAACTATAATTGGACCCTATCTTGTTCTTCATACAAACACAATTGCTGTTTCTCACTTTTAATCAAAAGCACCGACTTTCTATTATTTTGTGCCGGTATTTAATGCATCTTTATCTTTTGCAAGGTTTCTTTCTTTTCTCTAACTTGTTCTATTAAATTTGGAATGAATGATTTGAAGCACCAGTAATGTTATCCTACAAAAAAAAAAAAATTCAGGTTTGCAATACACTATCAGAGCCCCTTCCCTAGCACACAAAACTTATTATCAGATCTCTTCAAAAAAAGCAACTGAAAAATCATTATTTCATCAAGTATGAACACTAATGAGAATAAACTGTTCATATGGCAGTTGGATATACACAACATGAAATCATTTTTTAGTGTTTGTTTGTAGCACCTGACTGCTATGAAAGCATTTGTATGCATGTAAGTATTAAGCAACTAGGGGACCTACAACTTCAAGTCATCACCCAATGACTTGGTAACAAGGATTAACTTTTTACCACAGGGCACTAGCGCTTTGACTTGTTTTTCGAAAGTGGGACCTCTTGGTTTTACAAGACCACTGAGCCATCGCGCCTCTTTTTCTAGAGTGCTCTGCAAAATAATTAATACATTTTGACATGTCTGATGAAAATCATATTTAATTGGATGAGCTCACAAGGCTCGCATGACATTTTTTCTTACAAATGGATATTGACATGAAATTTTACACTAAAAACTACAATGCCATCCAAAATTTGAAAAAAAGAAGATACCAAAATTTGCAGTTTTAAAGTTTGTTTTTACAATGAATTCGAATACATCTATATTCTGACCTATTGCAAGTAATATACCTAAAAAGTCTATATTTCTTTAATAAATAATTTGTGAAATACTCCTGAAAAACAAGTTATCACTTCAAAATGTGATCAAGGATATTGGAGTTCATGAATGAACATGTTCCAAGTGAAGAAATATTTGGTATTAAGTGTGGAACAGGCTCAGGCATTTGGATGACAATAAATACAGTCATGTGACCTATAGGCAGTTCTATCACTCATGCCCCCCCCCCCCCAACCTCCGACCCCCTGTCTAAAAACACTACCACCACCATGACTACTTGGACTCTCGCTTGGAAGCACGGATTAAATCCACCTTATCCTCAACAATAGAAAGCTGCTTTCCGAGGTCGTTCAGTTCATGCTGGATGTGCGATATTCTGCCTTCTATCCGGTCCATTCGGTTGCCATCACTGGGCCCAACGAACCTCCAGAGGGCGTACACCATGTAGAAGGCGGAGAGGAGGAAGGCAGTGAAGACGGCGTTGTTGGTGATGACAGAGATGATGAAACCCAAAAGACCTGTATGAGAAGGTGACAAGAGTATGGTGATGGTGGACAACAAGTGGGCAACCTGACATGCACTAAATGAATCTGAATACACCTTTGAAGGCTTTTGGCAAAATGATGCAGTAAACCATGGAGGACTTTTTTTTCTATCTTAAATTGCTTTTTCTGTATCTTATAAGATACAGATGATTAGATGAATGGGAATGTGTAGGAACTTTTTTGCATGGAGCCATCTTGTTTTCATTTCCACTAGTTTCAGCATCGTGCATTCACAAGCTTTGCATATATTCAAAGATATAGAGTGCTGCATAAATGCTGTGAATCATTACCAGTGATTCGGTGTCAGTTTGTTGTGAAATAGCTTAGATTTATTCAAACTTTTCAAACAGATTGACTCCATTATTGTCTTCAGGATTACTTTAAACTTGTCAAGAGTTCTTCAACATCACACGGAAACTAGCTGGAGATAGGACTTTCACTATAACTGCATCTAAATATTGGAATAGGCTAACTTTAATACTCAGGCAATCACCATCTGTCTCTTCATTCAAAGAGGACTTGAAACATTTCTTTTTCGTAATCCAGATTTTTAAGATTCTGTAAGTTTTCATTTTCATTTTTTGTAGGATTCTTTTTGTTGTAAGTGCTTTGGTCCGCTCTGGGAAAAAGCGGAGGATATAAATAATAATAATAATAATAATAACTTACCTATAAACACAAACAATTCATACATGCACCATGCGGGACCATAGAGGGAGTGCACCAGGAGTGAGGTTGCCATGACGAAGAGAGTGAGGCCTGATGATAAGTAACGAATACCCACGTATCCTGTTATCAGCCACACCATCAGGAGAGCAGCATCCAAGAAAGTCTTTTCATACTTTTGTAGCTCAGCTAATAAATCAGGAGCTAGGGGTATACGAAAAGAAACATCAATTTAAAAGATTCTGCACAGAAAATCAAAAGGCTTGAATTACTTTTTTGATTTTTATACATTATGGTGAATAGAGTCTTTGGAAATGATGATGATGATGATGATGATAAAAATGATGATGATGGGTATAATGGTAATGACGGTGATGATGATGATGATGATGACAATGAAGATGCACACAATGAAGATGTTTAAAGTAAAATAATGATGATCTTTATGAAGATGATAAGAAGAATATGATGATGAACTCAAGGAAAAACATGATATAAAATATGTGAGGGTAAAATCTACAATCCAAGTTCACATTCTGTTATCTTACAATGATGATGATGTTATAATAATAATAATAATTTACGATTTATATAGCTCACATATCTGCCTAAATGACACTCAAGGCGCACAAAAAAGATTCACTGCTAACATTTTAAATACAAACAATAAACAAATTAAAGTTAACAAATTAATGATAAGTCAACAAATCAAATGAAAAATGCAAATAACAGATTCAGTAAGAAATCAAAATGACAACAAGTACATGTATATTCATTAGAGTTTATCATATATTTCCTTCATAAGGTTTATGTTGTATGTTTATCTCAATCAAAATGTTTGTTTTTTCTGCAATTACTCACTTTTAGCATGGAATATTGCCATGGAGAATCTATCTACATATTTGACAGCATCCTGCATCAGTCTCCCATCCTTGAATTTCTTGAGGGTCAACGAGGACTGACGAGTAGACTTCCCCCATGCCTGTGGGAAACAACAACAAAATCGGGAATTAAAAAATATATATATTTATTTATTTCCACATGTGAGGTGGATTGCCCTTTCAACTTCAGTTGGTTTTCAAAGGGGTCCACGCACATCTAAAAACAGTTACAAATCATGACAACATACAAGAGATAAACAAATAAACAATTAAATACATGAGATATACAAGAAAAATCAGTATGGGTATATTTGAGTAATAATATGTTTCTAGTCAAGGTAGATAATATACTTCTTAAATTGTTGAGCTATGAGTGTGTTTACTGAGACATCTTTTTCCATAATTTGTTTTTATGCAAGGTACGCACATCACCAACCCTGAGTCTGCAATTAAATGTTTGAGTTACCGTATAAATTGATTATAAATGTAACTAAGAATTAATAAGTTTTGGCTTCTCTTTCTTTTTATACAAATAAAGAGAAAAACAACTTGAACAATGTCTAACCATCTTCCTTGTTTAAACAAAATGCATTCCCTCCATTATTTGACTGGAAATGCTATGCCTGTTGGACATACAAACTTTAATAACAAAATCAGGAATAGCTGTCAACTAAAACGTTTGGCTACTCTTAACTTTCTGTATATGCACCCCCAAAAAAGGAAAAAAATAACTGGAACAATGTATATCATCTTCCTTCTTTCATCTCAACAAATCCTCTCCATGTTCTGAAATGGACATTACTAGAATGTCTCACAATTATTTTTATTGAAATATGTTCATGGAAGTAAGTTACAAGTAAAGATTCTATAGAGTTTTTAATTTTTGTTAAATTCTTTTTTAATCATGTACCAACACTCCGATCATGTTCATACATATCCAAGTTATACCTACAGCACTCCCTTCATGCATATGTGTATCTGCATTGAAATTGGATATGACATTACTTCATACTTTGCACTTCACCATAACTTTTGCAACACTACAAAGTTGCTCAATATACCACACTATAATCACTGGCAACAGAGCCTGCAACAGAGCTATATCGTATTTTGTAATTTTCTATATTTATTTATATTTTGATGTGTTGAAATCTATACTTGTTTGTGTCATGAAGAGCCTCAACGAAAAACCAGTATTTATTTGCTAATTGGGCTACTCTTCTTTTAAAAGATGACGTGTAATAAATAAATAAAAATAAAAATACCTTTTGGGCCTCTTTGACCACTTCGGCATTGGAGACGTCCCTCCAGGACTTGTTGATTCCCTCTGAGATGGAGCCGGTCGCTTGGTAGTTGTTCCATACCAAGAACAGGGTCATCCCCATCAGGATGGACAGGATGAAGAGGCGCCAGGTCATCATGGGGATTGATCAGACGCACTTCAGAACTTCGAAGGAGAGGTGAGCGGGAATCGACTGATAGGGTGGTGGGTGGTAGTGAAGACTGGTAGCTTCTGCACAGACTACACGTATCTGAACAAGAAAAAATTGGAAAATACATTAAAGCCTGTACTACCAGCATAAGTTATGCTTTTAAAGGATACTTATTGATTTCATCAAGGTTATAATTCTTTTTCTTGATACCCACAAAACCTTGATACTTTTTTTTCTTGATACCCACAGTGTTTCTGTTTCCTTTTTGCTCTATCAAGAAGAGGTAATGATAAAAATCCACCCTGTAATAGAATGCCTACTAACTAATGTCTACTATAGCACACATCAGTGTTACCTGATATGCTTCATAAAAATGCCATTTAATTTATCTTATATCGTGATTAAAAACAAGTTAAAAAAAACAGAGCATCTTTTAAATTAAGTCTTATTGGATCTCCTGCCGCTAAATTAGAAATGATTTCTATGAATGAAAAGAGGGAAAGAGAGACAGAGAGACAGAGAGAGAGAGACAGAGAGAGAGAGAGAGAGATAGTATGGACATGAAACAATACTGTTACAGATTGCTATTAAGATTGCTATTGCTATTTGTTTAAAGTAAAGCTTTGTAAAAATCTATATTTTCATCTTACAACCGTTTATTAGCTGTGTATCATCTTATGACTTCAAATCAATTTTAGTGCCTTTTTAGAACTATTGAAAGAAATCATATTACAGGCAACTACTGTAAGCAATGAAGGTAGTATCTCAGCAGGAAAAAAATTACACGGGGGCTCAGGGCAAAGTAGCCCCCGAAATGCCAAAAAGAGCCCCCAAAAGTCCTAAAAGAGCCCCCCGAAATTTGCATAGAGTTCAATGCAAAACAAATTAAAGAGTGTAATTTTAATGTAAGCAAGCTTGAAAAGTAGCTCCCGAAATTGTTTAAATATTTTTTCAATAATAATAGAATATGTCTTCTTTACCCAGAGAAGCCTCATATATACCTGTATTAATTTGTTTAATATATTACATTAAGAGCAACAATCAAACTCCACTGGAATCATTACAAGTCCAGTGAATAGTTAGAGGTCATTAGATGATACCAGGCACCTTGGGCAGCTTATATAAATCCAATCAGTGACATGTAAACTGATGATTTAAGCTAGGTTTCACCATGGTACTTAGCATAACCTTCTCACATTCTGAATGCACAGCTGGACTACTGACTGACGTACATTTCACATTGCAAACATACCAGTGTAAATTACCACTGCCTTCTTTCATGCATGTTAAAGGGCCACTTACACATACTCATATATGTTTTGAAGGACTACTCCTCTTTAACAACCTTACAGGGGAAATAATATGGTTTAACTACAAACCCTGCTACGATGACAATTGTTACGCTTTAATTAACACTAACCAAATTCCAAACCCTGGATCTAACACTAGATCTATTAACCTAACAGAAACCCAATTACTACCCAAATCTGATGTCTTTGGCAGAATCAAGCTTGAAAAGATTGTCTCCAAACTCCAAAGCATGTGTTGGATGATTACTTTACAACAACATGTATAGAGACCATTCTTAAAGGGTAAGCCTACCCTGATTACCTGATATTACCGGTAAGTTAGTTTATATAGAAGCAGACAAACGAGAGAACAAAAATTTTAAAAGTTGGAACAATATCCGATTAAAAAAAGGAAATTTATGATTTTTTGAAGATGTCATCACTGAAATACAAAATGGCAACATTGCGACGTATCAGGCGAGCTCCTCTCAAATTTGCTCTCAACAGAAAATTCCATGAACTTTCATTTTTTAGTAATTGATGATGGAATAGATTTGTTTGAATACAGGGGCTGTATAATAATTTTATTTAGGTTAAATGTATGATTGAAAATATAGATTTTTAGTATTTTAGTACATGGCAAATGAGCCTCAAAAGAAACATCACAGAGTTACCAATTTGTGTTTGATTGATTCATAACTTTCTAATTTTTAATCGGTTTTTACTCAAACTTTCACTGACCTGTTTCTCCCATTTTGTTTGTGCTTTTATTAAAACCAACATAAACTACACTTAAACTATGGCATCACTAAATAGTAAGAACAAATGTCTCTTATAGTCTTTTTCATAACAAGGAACTATGATGTAAATTATCTTGGATCAAAATATAAATACATAAATATACACTGTACATGGTCCCGCGCTTTCTGTTAACAGCAGATTTTTGATCAACAAACAGAAAAAGTCCCTTCGATCATCTAATGTACATATTAAAAAATCATGTGAGCTGGTAGCAATTCATGTAACATTAGCTATTCGACCTTGTAGGAAATGCATTAACTATCGCTGTGACAATCAACCAATCCATACAGGAAATGGTAAATCTTTCTCCTCCCTCTAAACGCTGAATATTTCCAAACTTCCTGAAATGCTGTAAGATCCTCTTGAAAACGCGTCAGAAAGACCTTTAACGGATTGCTGGTTTACTTAACCCATTGACTATTGAATTCTCTAGTTCCCATAGGCTTAACACACAGAGCCCAACCGGTTCTAGTAAGGGATGGATTAATACACAGAGTTCCTGGTAGCTAGCTTTACATCATGACACTATCCATCCTGTTCTGAGTGACTCATGTTACAAGCCAAATGCTCACTAATTTCTCAATGTCACTTTCTTGTACTTAACTCACTCAATACCACAAATTTTTACTTCCATTAGACACATCTCTATGATTCCAAGTTCAGTAGTACCGGTATTCAAAGGGTTAAAGCCCCACTGTCCTACTTGTAGCTACTTGCTCCCTCTATATAGAAAACTTCCCCAATTGGTGCCTATTGGTCCCCCATGATCCTCTATTTCTTATGTTATTTGAGAGCTGAGTTAATGAGAAGCCACCTGTCAGTGACCTCGCTGTGTGGTCTAATAAATCCCTCCTAGCCACACTAGTGTTGTTAGGCTTTAAAGTTCATGCACAGTATCAGAAAAATTGAAAAGGTCAAGAGTTCCTTTATTTTCAGTGTTACTTTAGATAAAAATTTACTAACCAGGAGGGCAGAGTCGAAGATCTATAGAGTCTGGTCTGGAATGATCCATCCCTTTTTTAATTTTTTTTTTTGGAGGGTGGGGGAGGCCGAGGTTTATCCATCACTGATTGAACTTGCGTTACTTTTGAATTATCATAATCACACTATTGTTTCTGAGCTTTTCACACCCCAAAACCCAGGGTTCTCACCAGTGCACTTAACACCTTGGTAATGAACAATTACATGTATTCAAAACATTGGGGGGGGGGGGGAGGTTAAAAAAAGTACCACAGGGAAAGTCTCTCTGACAAGGGTAATAAATGTTTGAGGAGGCGAGTTGGCTCAGTTGGTAAAGCGTCTACCTGTCGAACCAAAGATCATGGGTTTGAATCCATCCCAGGTGGATGACTGAAGTGTGCGTTGTGTGTTAACGTGCCCCTCCCGTTTCATAGACGCAGGCTATGTTCAGTGGAAAACACTCCATCCCTCGGATAGGACATTAAATGGAGGCCCCGTGTACAGGAAGGTCACCACCCTTGCACGTTAAGAACCCACTGCACTATTTGTATAAGAGTAGGGGAAAACCCCGGTGTAGTGGTCCACCTGCACACCCTAATCAGGCCGGGTATACATGTACATGTATACAGCATCTGCGAGAATCTTCAGTATTGAAGGAGGCAGATTATCTTGAAGAAGAAGGAGGAGGGTGTGTCGATGCCTACTTTAAAGTTTAAACCTACAAAATATTTTGGTTTTCCCAATTAAACTATTGTACCTCCCTACAATGCCATAAAGCCATATTTTGAGTGGTACTCTAATTCTAAAATCACCCAGGGTTATGATATTACAAAGACGTACATGTATTAATTTAAGTTTGTACCAACAGTAAACCGTTTTTCTTTCAAAGTCAGAGAAGAAGGAAAAAAAGTATGATTCTTCACTTTTCTTGTCTTAGCTGATGTGAAAAACTGATGTGAAAACCATACGTTCCACGATGTAAAGTTCTGTTTTTATATCAATACAGCAAAAAACAACCATTTTATTTAAGTTTATCTTAAAGATAATGGGAACGCATTAAGGATATGCATAACTATTTCAACAGAAAATTCAAACTTAGATTCTGTGGACATTTTTACTCCGTTTTATAATGAAAGAACGTCCGCCAAAATTTTCACAAAAAGACAAAATTACTTTCTTCCTAGATTTCTTTACTCTCTTGCTCTCCTTCTCCGCAAAATTAAAAAGATCAATTTCGCATATCTAAGTTTTGAAATGCAGAGTAACAAAATATTTGTTTATATCTTTAATTTCAAATACAGAGTACAACAAATAATTTTACAACAAAGAAATGCCACGCTGAAACGACCAATCCCAAATTGCATACAAGTTTTTACAACATACCATAAAACTATACACGTGGGACCGGTATGGCGAATGAGAGATGAAGAAGGGAATTTACATATCAAATATTATCAGCTAAAATTTAATTTTGCGAATGAAATCTTACCCTGATATATTAAGGTGCACTTGGTTAATCCAAAGATGATATTCGTCCTCGAATTCCAGTATTTTTAGGGCGTGCAGACGATTTATTCTTGAGGATTCTCTGAGACTGAGCGTGCTGAGAACGGAAAGGACAATGACCTCTGATGACGCTAAGATTTGATTTGAGGAGGTGTCATTCGGGAAATTCCCAATAAAAAGGGGCGTATCCCTATTTTAGAAAGGCCTCGGCCGATCGGTCTGACAAATGAATGGCGCTCCTTATTTCAATTCTTCCGAAGATCTGTATGTATTTTTAATGCAGGCAATTTTTTTCTTGCTTTATTTAATAATGAATATATGTTTGTAGTATTTTCCTATATTATTGCATCTCAAAAAATGATTGTATAGGATGAATATGAGCAAGCTTCCTATTCAATGTAGACTCTATATTATAATAATAAGTTCTTCTTTTAACTTTCAATCCTCTACATGTCCATGCCCCAAATTATCTTTCTGAAATGATTCAATTATATACAACCCAATAGGCCCCTTCTTTCTGCAAATCAAACTCTCTTGACCGTTAAAAAAGCAAAAACACAATACTTTGGTGATAGATCCTTTTCATGCTCTGCTTAACTTATTAGTATTTCAACTTCTATGGTAATTTGTCGAAATCGGAAAACGATGTTATCTGAAGAAGAAAAAACACCTACCTTTCCTGTTTATTCTTAGGCAACTAATTAAGCCTTTTTTCTTTTCTTATCTTTGGCCCGTCACCCACCATTCCTTCTCTCATTTGACATATTCGAGATTGTTTTCCAACACTCCAGCAGTAAGCATTATTTTCCTTTGAAAACAGCTTATAGCTGACAAGGGCAATCCATCCCATGAGTGGAGAATAAATAAATTAAATAAATTAATTAAATTAAAATTAAAATTAAATTAAATTAAATTAAATTAAATTCTCAGTATATATGTTTCAACTAAAAAAAATGAAATAGCTAGACCTATATGGGGGTCTAGACTATATGGGTGGCTAATTTAGACCATTTCACAGTAGTCTAGGCTACACCGCAAAGGTTCATCAGATAGGATTAGGTGAGGGTTAGGATAAGGGCTGTGACTGTGGTAATTTTTAGAAATTTTTAGAAACATGCCTCTGCAACTGATTAAATGCCCCCCCCCCCCCCCCCCCCCCCCCTGGAAGATCAGACTACGTCCACCATAGGCACGTGCAGTCGTGCACCTTGTTTACCAAACATCGCGCCCCTCAGTTATATAACTCGTGCGCGATAATCGGAGAGCAGGCATGTTCCAGTAACTTGGAACTTTGGAAGTCGAAATCATGGACTAGGGAACTTCTAAATGATGGTCTGAAATTTGGATTGACGTTAAGTACACGAATGATGCAATGGCAAATTCTGTGCCAGGTAAGTGTGCCAGGAATGCGGGAATGAGGAGAAAAAGAATCGAACCGAGCCCGAGCCGACATGATCATGAGCCGTACAACTAGTGCCTGCATGCACTGTCTGGTACTGGTGGCACGGTGCATGGTGGTGGTAGTAGTAGATCAAGCCGCTGCCGCTCTTGGCCAAGCGGGTGAGATGTGGCTGGCCCCTGGCGTTGGCATATAGACATAGTTCGAGCATGGATTTTTCTAGTAAATGGTTCAAGCTATAAGTAAGCCAAGCACTGTCTACAGACAATGCGGTAGCCGGTAGCTCCTCATCTCATGCTCATGGCAGGCCGCTCATTTAAGTCTTTCTATCTCTAAAATTAAACACAAAAAAGGCCACATCTTTTTAATTGTTTTGCCCGAGGTGCTTTTTTAGGTCGAGCATTTAAAGATACAACTACCAGTGTTTGAGGTATTGTGAATGAATATTGTAAAAGTGTGTTCACAGATCACACAACATAACTCTATTTTTATTTTAGCTACGAGGAAGCAAGGTTGCACCGACAATAAAGTACATTATCAAAAGTATTCCCTTTTCGTTATTTTATTGATGTATAAACAAAGCTGACAATACACTTGCAAAGTGTAGTCAAGCAAATATAGATGACTTGTATGTGAATCACATGAATGTGAATTGAGGATACTGCATGTAGTTACATTCAATGGTCATGGATGAGAATGAACAAGAATAAATGCAGTGAATGAATATAGCTTACAACAATGATAGAAATGAAGTCGAAAGTCCAATGAAGATGATGACGGATGAAACGAAGGAAGGGGCCCACGCAATGACGATGCGGAGGCTTGAAGGCGAGGATGCAGCTTCGTTGTCGTGGCTGAGGAGCCGTGAAAAATCTCTATGCTGACGCTCGTGATGATGATGATGAAGTAGCTCTCAGGCGAGAAGAGGGGAGAAGAAATGTGGCGCTCAGCGACGAAACAGTGAGTCACTCGATGTCGGAGGCCAAGGTAGAAATGCAGACATCAAAGCCGGTAGTGATGCTGAGCAGTGAGTCGCTCGATTGATGCGCCAAACTTTGATGGTGAATGTTTAGATGAGCTGCGGTGAATTGAGCTTGTGTGGGTGAAAGGCTACCGGTGAAGAAACTGGCAGCTCCCAGCGGAGAATCAAGCGCCATGTCAGGTCCTGATTGTCTTGTCTTGGGCCTTGGTGGAATTGTAGTACATGATATCATAGTCGCACTGAAAATGAAATTTTGCCATTTTCGAAGGTCCTATTTGTATCCGTACTGCCAATTTAAAGAAGATTTTAACTGATCTACATAATTAAATGAGTGCCTGTTTTGGTTTTTTTATCATTTAACTTCCAGACACTGACAATGGTTCTTCCAGTAGTCCATCATTGAGTTTCCAGATGGTCATTACTGGGATTAAGAAGATGTATCCAGCAGTAAAGAACATTTCAACGGCAGAGTTGAAAGAGCTCATGAGGACAGAAGAAGCACGAGCTAGACTTGTCATAGTGGTAAGTCCATGATCTGAGATAGCTAGATCAATTATAATCTATCCAAAGATAAAAGTAAGTTCTTGTCATTAAGTGCTAGAAGGCAGATGGACTTGAATTGTGAGTTAAAATTCATCTGACTCTTGAGTTGATAATAATTCCTCATTAACTTTCAGCACAAGAATTGTATTTATTATTATCCATCACCATGCAGGAATTCTAAATTCTCTTTTATTTAAAGCCCCACTGCACAACTTATAGCTACTTGCGTCCTCTATATTCAGCCAACAATGCCTAAGCGGTACCCATTGATCCCCCATGATGCCCTTTTTCTTATGTTAATTGAGAGCTGATTTGATGAGATAACCACCTGCCAGTGACCTTGCAGGGAGGGGGGGGGGGGTAAGCACTCCATGCTAAACTTGTGCAGAGGGGATTTAGTAAACATTTCTAGGTAAGAATATTTGTTTGTGTAAAATTTGAAAAAACAAATTTGAATCTACCTGTTTGTAGGATGCAAGGCCTGAAGCAGAGTTCAGTGTAAGTCACATTCCATCAGCTGTCAGGATTGATCCCCAAACTCAGAACATGGATGATGTCAGGAGGACTCTTCAAGATCAACTTGTCAAAGGTTAGGTCAATTTTATTTTTTCACCTGTGACCAATGCTCCGGGCATTGTTCTTTTCAGAGTTATATGGTTAGAGTTAGAGGTATATTAAGAAGAAGTGGAGGGAGGGAGTGTCATCATGGCATGAAAGTCAGTAATCCTTCGAAAGAGTGAAATTGTTGACTTTAATAAATGAGGATGATGATGATTAAGAGTTAGAATTACATGTAGGGATGCAATTTGGGCTAGGGTAAGAGTTAGGTATAGTGTTTGTTTCAGGGATAAAGTCAAGAATTTACCTCTCGTAGTACTGGAAATTGACCATGGATCATTTTGTCACTGGAGATACGCCACCTCAGGGTAATGTCTAACCCAGTAGACACGTTGCTTGTATTTGATCATTGTAAGTGGTCATTGAAATCATTCCTGTTAACGCTATGTCATTCTGATTTCTTGTAGATGAACCAGCTAGTTCTGATAGTGAACCTATCCAGGTTGTGATGTACTGCTCTGTGGGTTACAGGTCATCAGCACTGGCCAAGAGGTTGAGACAAGCGCTCAAAGCAGAGAAGAATGACAGAGGTAATTTGCTACACCATTTAGAATATTTGTGCTATAAATTCTCAATTTTGTTTTAATCATATACTAATGAAAATAGCTTAGCGCACAAGAGAGTTTATAAATTATATTTTGTATGGAATTTTGAGAAAATAAATACTAATATAAATCTTGTAATGTTGCTAGTTTAGTGCATAACCTTATGAGCAACTGATTATATTCTTGATACGCAAGTAGGCTACATTCATAAGTTGTTTTCTTCAATGGTTTGCAGGCTTAATTATCAATAAGGTGATCAGAAGTAGTTTAGGAATTAATTTATGAATTATGACAGAGACAGGAGGATGATTGAGGTGGATATATGTAATAGAAGCAATATCACAGACTGTTCTTTTATCATTTATCATTATGATAACAAATTTGTTATCATGCTTAGTCTCCCAATAAAAAAATATCAAAGTACAATATGGATCAATGAACAAACAACAGGAATACAATTAAGAACCTTGTAACTTTGTAACATTGTTCTAAAATTTATCCTTTTGGATGGATATTTGCACAGTATGCATGCTGTCGTTCTTATCATCATCATCATCGTCATCATCATCATCAACATAATCATCATCATCATTATCATCAACATAAGTTTTGTTATTATTCTTAATAATCTTGATACAGAGACTGCTATGAGCCATCAATCTTCACCATCAACAGCGCCCTCTACGGTGATCTCTCCGTCAAGGATCAAAATCTTCAATTTGGAGGGCTGTCTCTTCAAGTGGGCCAACGAGGGTCATCAGATGGTGGACGGGCGGGGCAGCCCAACAAAGTTTGTTCACCCCTACAGTACCATGTGGGGTCAGCTGATCAGCAGAGACATCAGGAGGTGGGAGGGGCCTCGTATGTAAATTCAGGTCAACGACCGGGTCAATTGCAATTTTGAGTGGGTATATATCACCAAGCAATTGTCATTCAAACTTACTGAAATGCTGCATCTTAGATTTTTGTGAGTAGAATACCATAGTTGAACCATGTGAAGTATTTTAAGAGAAATATGAGCCCCCAGAAGGGGCCAATTATGCTTCATTTACTTGGTACCTGGTTGATTGGCCGCTTCGCTGCCTTTACCGCTCAGGATTCCAATGCTTCCTGTAGTAGTAGTAGAAATGGTTTATTGAAATAAAAATCAATCACGGCTCGAAAGCCGAATTACAGGTTTTTTACAATAGTAAAAACAAACATCAAAATTACAGGAATCAAAATAGGTAATAAACATGTAATAGTGAGATCATAATGACAAAGATCAATTACAATAACAAAAATTATTTTCTTACAGGCAGTGCCAGTTAGCATTCATTGACTACACCACTACACCATACTACTATTGATATCAATATTATTATTATTATTATTATAATTATTATTATTATTGTTATTACTATTCTTAGTATCAATAAAATGATAACAATAATTTGTATCAACATTATTACTAGGATTACTATTAACAATGGTAAATATCAAATAGTTTACTTAAAATATTGCACTTAAATCAAGTTCAAATTTTTGGGCCATTTTACTGAGTTTGTCCCGAAATTGCTTTGTGTTCCGTTTATGCAAGTAGCCCAGCATCTTTGTTAGTCTGTGGGTATTGCTTGATGAAATGAACCCACGAGAACCGACTTCAATTGCCAAAAGTTCTACCTCATAGCCATTGTCTTCAATGTCTCTGACGAGGGACGAGTATTTATCAACTTTATATTGATGGGCCTTATTGATTCTAAGTTCAAATGGGACTGTCAGCTCCATGATCATGATTTTTTTACTTTTTTCATCGTAGATACAAAGGTCAGGTCTCAGGTTTGTTTGGGTACAAGACAATGGGATTGTTGAGACAGGGGAGTAGCCGATTAAATAGGGAATATCATGAAGGATTTTTGTATCGAGCGAAGTACTTTCTGTGATGAATTCTACAAAGCATTTTAGTACATTGTTATGGCGCCAGGTGTATCGCCCTTGAGATAAAAATAGTGAACAGCAATTAAGAACATGGTTCAGTGTCTCAACACAATCGCAGTGCCTGCATTTGTTTGTTGCAGATTTGCCCCATCTCAGTAAATTTGCCCTTGTGTTTACAGTATCAGTAACAGCATTTACGAGAAATTTAAGGACTTTCACTGGCAAATTATACATGATGCTCTTCCAAATCGTACAGTTACTTTCTAGCGATAGAAGATCTAGAAATTTCCCTTGAACTACTAACTCTTTAACATGTGTATGCCAAATGGTAGAGACTTCGTGAGTTAGGATTTTTTTTTTGCCTCTCTTGGTTTCTTTTCCTTGAGTGTTGGATGCCCTTCAACAGATGAGTAAACCTCATTACTTTTTACAATCGTGTATTTTTTTCCTCACCCATTTCGACTCACGTTGCAATTGAGAGTCTAAACAATGATTCACCAAATCGTCCCCGTTCACCCTCATGGATATGTAAGAAATTTCATAAAAGCATTTTTAAACATGTAAAAGGTACAAGGGGATATATAAGGGTTAATTGATAATGCAATAATCAGACTAGGGTGAGTATATTTTATACATGTAGACGTTCTGATAAAAAGGTTATTAAAAAATGTGGGTAAATGGTTGTTCTAAGCAAATGACACAATAATAAAGCTAAATATGTTTCGATACAAAATAAATTAGAAATTTCATCTAAAATCGGTATTGCAAACATGAATTTGTCAAAGTGTATTCTTAAGTGCCTTAATATATAAAGGAAAACAATTAAATAATGTATTAAAACTCTTTGATAATTAAGATGCGATTGTGGTATGTTTTTAAAATTATTTACGTAAAGTTTGTTACATGAAGCATTGCAATCAATTTCAGAGTGATTTCCAAGTTTTGATTAAATAGTATAACACAAAATTGCAGGGAAATTAAATTGGTAAAATTTAAAAAAGTAGAAAAATGTACCAGCACGAACTTTATATCAAAATGTCACGAAGATGATGTGTCAAAATTACAGTTATAATTTATATTGAATTCAATAAGTTGATGATGTATGGTATTGCACTTTTCCGAAATCTTTGAGTTTTGCATCTGACTTGTTGCCTGACCCCATTGTTTCTCAGGGTTCTGCCAACATCTTTGGTTCGAGGGATGAGGTCAGACAGCTTTTTGTTCTTCTCAAGTTGTTGTGCAAATGAAAGACAGAAATCTTTTCTTCGAGCAAGTAGGGACGATAAGTCCAGTGTCTCGAGGGCAGCGTCATATGATGTGAAGCAGGGACTTAGGATGATTTTTAGGGTTCTCCTCTGGATCCTTTCTAGAGATGCAATCTGTTGTTTTGTGAGTCCACTGTTCCACACAGGACACGCATACTCCAGGAGTGGCCTCACATACCCCACATAGATGGTACACAGATCATCCACACACAGGCTGTGGCTTCTCAGCATCCTGATCATGTACATTCTACCATTCGCTCACTGGAGCTTGTAGTCCACATGACACTGCCACTTGAGGTCACTTTGTAGTTTCACTCCCAAGACTTGCACAGTGTCCAAGGTTTTAAAGGGTTGCTCATTAATTTTGAACACTGGGGGATTAGGAGGCGATTTCATGAAGCATATTTGCATTGCTTCACACTTCACAGGGTTAAGAGTCGTTCTGTTTAGACGGCACCAATCCTGTAATCTTAGTAAGGCGTTCTCAGTGAGCTCCAGAGGTTCTTGTGCAAATCTCGTGTTGACGATACTCATATCCTCTACATACTTCACAGGCGTCATTGATGACAGCAAGGAACGGTATCAGCCCCAATGGAGTGAAGGCGTCTTGATGGTCTGCAGCTGTTTGACGGAGGGCAAAGTTACAACAACTTGGGCTCCATGTACCGCCAAAGAGATGAACACACATTCGGTACATTTTGGGCTGTCTCTCCAAGTCACCTCCTGGCCACCACAGAAATCTCATGACGTCTCTCTCAGTTAGGGGGACTCTCACTTGATGGAACATTCCCTCAATGTCCGCCATGAGTGCCACTGGTTGCTGACGGAATCGAACAAGTACTCCTAGCAGGTTATTGGTAAGGTCCGGCCCCTGTAGCACTACGTCATTCAGAGACAGTCCTTGGCACTTAGAGGCACAATCGATGACGATGCTAACCTTGTCCGGCTTCTTGTCTGTCATCACTGGATGGTGAGGAAGGTACCAGACATTACCACTGTCAGGCTTACAATCTTGAGGGACTTCTTCCGCATACTTCTTGTCGAGAAGTTGGGTCATGACATCAGCATATTTGGCGTGCAGTTTCCCATCTCTCACCAATCTCCTCTTCAGAGACTGTAGCCTTTGCTCTGCTAAGTGACGGTTATTAGGAAGGCAGGACTTTCTCTCCCTGAAAGGTATGGACAGCTGGTAGTGCCCATCTACCTCCTGTATGGCTGTATGGAGTCTCTCCATACTTGTAATGCTCTCTTGTCCTCCACCGACATGCCCTTCGAGTTACCAGCCAGATGCTCCGTGCCTTCCATCTTCCAAAACTTGGTTACCTGTTCATCCAATCCCATATCTTGAGCAATGGTTGATTGCTTGGATGACGCTGCTGATTTACTGGCCCATTCAGAGTCCATCCCAACACTGTGCGTACAGCATACACTTCCCTTGGTGGACCGAATCTAACTTCTAATGGCTGTAAGACCTCTGGAGTATCCTGTCCTATTAGGAGATCAACCTCATGACTTGTAGGGGGAAATTCCAAGTCCTTAAGATGTTCCCAATTCTGCACATCTGTGGTGGTAGCAACATTGTTGCTGCTAATGTTGATCCCCATCTTTGTATATAATCATGGCAGCTCTAATTCTTCTATATCCTAAAGAGGGTTCCACCATCAAGCAGCTCTTGATGATGATCTTGACCTGATCTGTACAACACTGGAGCAGCTTCATGAGCTTTGTCCCTTCCTGAAGTAAGGACCCTCCAATCAAGTTGTCAAAAGATGTTACAAACTCATGGTAGTGAAGAGGGTTGCCATCAAACTTCATAACCTCTGCACTCGACAAACTTATGGCCTCTAACAGACGCTGCTGTTGAACTTCAATTTCCAACTGATGGTTCATGTGGAGACTGGTATTGGAAAGAGACTTTGTCTGAGCCGAATCCTCATGAAACAGGTAAGGGATTGTTGAATCCAGATCCTTCTGCTCATGGATCGTAGGTGGGTTCACACGCTGCTGTGTGTGAGATAACATCTGATCTTCATTTCCAGCAGGTTTGGATGCATTCAGATCTGACTGGATGGGAGAAGGAATGTTGTCCTTCAGTTCTTGACCTATAGAGGGGGTCTCTTCTTGAACTTGAGCTTTATGCTGGCTGACGCTAGTAATAACACTTCCTTTGTTATGACGACTTACATGCGAAGAACTCTCTTCTTCATAAAGACTGCTGTAAACATACTCTTCAGCCTTGGCGATATCCAGCTTGGTCTGTAGCTCCATCCGGATTTTCTTCTGTTTCAGCTTGAGCATCTCGATATCCAACTCTTGCTGTTGATGTAAACCTTCAGCCTCCGCCGTCAATGCTGCACTTCTTGCCATGGCCTTGGCACGTAAACGAGAGCTGGAACTAGAAGATGCACTGCCCACAGACTTAACGATGCTTCCACACTGACTGACTGAGTCTTCTGGATTGACATCGGGGAAAGTCTTGGGCTTTACAACACTCATCTTGAAAGGGCGACGCTTTCAATCCAAAAAAAACCTTGTTGTTGAACTGTTGCGGCTCGATCACTCTGACTCTTTACTAAAGTCCCACCGTTGACGTATAAAAGACTCAGTGACACCCTTGTGCTGATACCAAAGGATGCATGCGGTTCAACCTTTAATGGAATAAACAGAACACAGTCATGAGCATTGCGTGATATAAATGCCAATGAACATAGATAAGCTGATCAATTAATATTACATCCTTGCATCTATATAATAAATACATTCACTGTCCTTCATGAAATATACATGAGCCTATACATATTCATGAGCTTGACCCTGCATTGACCCCTATAACCTGACCTACTTTCTGTCATAGTATACCCCAAATCTGTCTACCAGGCTGATTGCCATTATAAGACACCAAATTAGCTAGATTATAATCACACAGAGTTTTCCTCTAATTCTTATTAAACGTGTTATAATACCAGGTCAGTCATCATATTTAACTTAACACTGTTTACTTTCACTAAGCAGCACCCTCGCATGTCCATATCATGCGCTACACAACATACACTGGCACAACGTGGGCTTCGTGCATTAACACTTTCTAACTCAGATTTAGCCCATTCATATTCCTCCATTTTTATATCTTACAGTTTCAAACAAGAAAGAAAACATTTAATTTCAATAGTCTTCAGTCGACTTCTACTTACAACATTGGGCTTGTGTGTAAACTGACAAATAACGGTGAACTTCAGTACCAAACAACACGACTTGACACACGTGTTTCAGCTCCTGAACCAAAACAACTTCGCCCTCAACGGCCCAGAAATACGAATAAACTCTCACTTCTGACGTCACAATGCCCAGTGATATAAACAATACAAAAAATCTCTAAACTAGATATAACGAGCAAAACCAGCGTCAGGGTAACAGCTGAGGGTCTGATCGATGGTATCTTGAAGGTGATGAATTAAGCTGTCAGCAACCGGGCTATTAGGTACATGTAGATAATAGACTACAGCAATTACTTTTTGCGAGATTGATCGCGAAAGCCGTACAGGTCGGATCTTCACCCATAGGACTTCCAGTTCATCTGGCACATCAACCTCAAGTCGTTCCGGTTTAAAGTCATTTTTTGCATAGATTGCAACCCCTCCTCGATCCCTGTCTGTCTGTGTGGTCGTGATTTTGTGAAGAGCATGTAGTTGGGGAGAGATATAAGGTCTGGCGGTATGTCTGTGCGAAACCAAGTTTCTGAGATTGCCGCCACTCCTACACCCTCCTGGGTCGCAACCACATGTAATTCATCGATCTTGTTGTTCAGCGATCTGGCATTGCACAGGTAAAACTTAGGCAGAGTTGGTTTCCTGCATTATGCATGGTGTTGTATGTCACTTTTCTTTTCAATCTCTACTTTATCAAGATTTTCGGGTGATGAACATCTTTGTTTCCCCGAAAAAACGTGTTGACTATGTACGATTTGAATCCGTTGCCGTATATGTGTTCCACCCCTTCGACCTCGTTTCTGTCTCACGATGCCACATTCGCGTGTCATTTGGTACGTATGGAGGAGAAGGCTTCTTTGTTTGTTCTCCCAACGAAGAGTTTTTCTCTAGAATACGAACAGCGTTCTCTATTCAAATACACAGCTCTATTGAAATTGAGATTGAAGATGCATCTATCTGTGTGACTTGACCACTGAGCAGGAACGGTGGTCAGCTGGAGTCTCAGCTCTGCGGGCAGCTGACCGTAGGGCGACGGTAGGATTGCGATAGTCAAAATAGTTGAGCACGTCAGTAGATACATATTCTAAAGTCAAGATTATTGCACATCTTAGCTAACAAGTCACAAAATGTCACACTCACTTAAGTGCTAAATGTACGTTTACCTTATGTAGATGTGTCAAAAAGAGAGAAACACAACAATAAAGTGAAAATTTACAGTGTAATCTTGAGCTTCAATATTAACATGGCAGCAGCCTGTTCAGCGCCAACAGCCCATCTTCCGAGAGGATTGCTTCTTGGGTGTGTTCGATAACCTTATGTAAGTAGTTGGGCCAGTTTACATAATCAAAGTGCTGTAGGAGTCCCCTTCCCATCTCCACAGCTC